GACACTTTGTAGATATCTAGTTTTACGATTGCTTTTAAATGCAGAATCAGGGCTTAGGGACATTTTGTTAAAAGAAAAGGTCAGCTGATCCACTAATGAACTATGAAGACTGCAGAGGTTTACTGAGCCTTTATTCTCTCAGTCTGGTTCAGTCCACACAACCACGAGGAAGACTGCTGACCTGACAGTTGACTAGAAGGCCATCATTGACCCCTCTACAAAGAGGGTCATTACCAGAAGGTCTTTGCTGTAAAGTCTGGCTGGAAAGGAAGGAAACCAAGAAACAGGGATGAGGGCAGCCTGGAGCGGACCGACAAACAAGGAAGATTCAAGAACTTAGATGAGCTTCACAAGGACTGGACTGAGTCTGGAGTCAGAGCATCAAGAGTGACAAGTTCAGAAAATGGACTACAAGTGTTCCTGCATTTGAGACAATGTCATCAAAGTCTCATCTAGACTAAGAAGAAGAAAAAAACTGGACTGTTGTTCAGATTAAAGTCCATTTAGCATCTCATTAGGAAATCAAGGTCCACAGTCTGGATGTAAAGGATTATGCTGACGCTGATGCTGGCTCAGTGAACATCCTATACTAAGTGAACATTTAAACACAGGATTCAGGATTCAGTTAGAAGGTTTATTTTTGCTTGTCTTCAGTGGATGATTTTTTTCTGTCCAGACAATCAAAGAAATAGAAACAAGATGTATCAACATAAAATATTTCAATAAAGGGGGACTTATAAAGTCAAATGAATTTGTAAATTTGTTAACTTAGCTTACATCATAGATGCATCCACTTCAGGGCTTTAAATCATCATTACATTTGGGTTTAGTTTGACAGGAATCTAATAAAATAATATTTGAGAATAAACCATATTAGAAATAATACAAATCAGGAGAATCCAACAACATTTAGTAAGGCTTTGTCCATTTTAACTCACATTCAGACTCCCTTTGTTCTGTGCTGATCTTTGGTCAGGGTGCAAGAGGCAGGGAAGGCCTGAGGGCTGGCTTTTATGATGTTGGGGGTGTGGCTTCGCCTTGAGTGACAGGGGAGTCAGGTATGGTGATGGTGAGGTGAGAACTTGGGATTTAACACTGGAGGAAGATCAAACACCCAAAGTGTTTGAAGTCCAGCATAAAGTTTCCACAGTCTGTGATGATCTGGAGTGCCATGTCATCTGCTGCTGTTGGTCTGCTGTTGTTTTTATCAATTCAAGAATCAAAGGAGCCTAAAGTCAACCTGGAGTCAAGAAAATGTAAGTCACCAGAGCAACAATACAGACCAGCTCAACTGTGCCTCTAAAATGTGTGCCAGAAAAACTGACATCATATTTCATTAATGAAAAATTGGGACAGTCTGCATGTTATTACATTCGGGGCATTACCCACGATCCTCCCTGAAGTATAAACCTCAGAATAGCACACACACAAACACACACTGAATGGAGTTACAGGCTCAAAGGGTGAAAGATACCTGACATGACCTTACCATGAGTTAGGCTGAAACACACCAGGCTCCATTTGAATACATAGACAACACAAAACAGTCACATCTAAATAGAGACAATTTTTCAGACAGATAAAAGCATGTCTATGTTTAAAAAAGACAAATGCTTTTATTTTGTGAATTAAATGAAAGCTCTGAGGCTCTTCTTTTAAACCGTCAAAACTCTTAAGCTTTGTTGTAAAAATCCATTATTTTAAAACTCTTCACACCAGTTAAAATGAGTCTGTTTACATTGACATGCCCCACCTATCAATCCTGTCAGAGTCAGCAGTAGGTTGTTATCCCTTTCTGTACTGAAACAAGCTGTGCCATAAACCTATTATATCATTCTGCTTTATGGAAATATAAATCAGAGGCAGCAGTGTGCCCCAGTGGAATGAGTGGCATCTATAAAATGTGTGCTTGAACAGGGTAGTCCTGGATGGTGTCATAAAGAGTGTCTGAGCGCAAGAAGCCCCCCCAGGGTTCAGCCATGCAGAGCCACATTCCTCCATTCAAACAGAATAAACCTGATAAAATGCTCTGTAGGCAGAGGCTTGTTCCTGCTGTGCTGAGGTTGAAGTTTTATACCATGAAGTCAGCAGCTTAACTGAGTTAGTAAATCACCCCTCTGTTTAGGAAAATAAAGAGCTAACTCAGAGCAGTTTTCTGAATATGGGCAGTTATACTATGATCTAAATGAATACTTAATTCTGTTTGAATAAAGGCAGTGAAATAATTCATGTGAACTGAATCTCTGTAGTTTAAGTGAAAGTGTCTGATCGCATGAAAATTAAGTTCAGGCTGCAGTGAACAGCTAATGCAACAGCTAAATTTGACTGGATGTGTACACTTTCATGTGAGGTTATAAGACAACAGGGGGAGGTTGAATCAATTAACACTGACTTTACAAAGACAATACATAGTCCGTGTGTTATTCATATTTTAGTTTCTACTTATTTTTATCCTTTGACCATCTTTAGGACCCCCAGTGTTTCCTTTGGGAAGCCCTGTGCACCGGGGGGCAGTTGTAGGCTGTGGTTGCAGGGCCCTGTCTCGTGGGTTCAGGGCAGGTTGTGCCTCCTACATCCCTCCTCTGGCCCTGGGTTAGTGTCTTGTGGCTGCAGACAGCTCCTCTGATGGTGCTTTCTCAACCGGTTCATCTGTACTCTGCAGGTGAGTAGGTGTGTGTGTGCGTGTGTGTGGCTTTGGGTGTGACTGCTGAATGCCGGTTTTATGGTTGTGGAGGTAGGGTGGTTGGGTGAAAGGACGTGGGACTGTTTTTAATATAACGTACTTTGTGTTACATATTTTGTATGAAAAGCTTTTTATGAATAAAGTTTTGATTGATTGATTAATTGATTGATACAAAATCCGCAAAAATATAAAGGTTACCACTTTTTCCACTGGGGGCACCAAAACCCACAAAGACAAGGCTCCACACGGGGGCATCAAACAACATTTGAGTGGCATTAAAGGTATATGTGAACAAGATTTGGAAGAAATAAAGTTTGAAGTTGACCATGTTGGTTTTGCGTATGTCTTTAATATTTGTTTTTATTTCTTTTCTTTCATGTTCCATTATTTCTGTCATCTTACCTTTGAGCCATTGGTGTTACCATGAAGTCACTGTGAGTCATTTGGTTATTGCTGTATCAATTGTACCTTGGTCGTAATGAGAAATTAAACTAAATATCACCACATTTGCACTCTGTCCTATCCATTAAAGGCAAAAAAATCTTCCAAAAAAAAAAGTGGAAATGTTTTTTCTTTTTTATCTTTTAGTTACGGCACATTACAAACATGGAAGTGGACTGTATAAAGATTGTGTCCTTTTCTATTTCACTACATCCACTCATCTAGTTATGGAAAATAATTAAAGGGGACCTGCCACCAAAATTTCATACCCATTTTTATCAATTTTTCATAATCCTTGATGTCCTCTGATCATGTTTGCAACATAATTTTAGCTGAAAAGTTATTTGATGGTTTGTTTTAGTATACCTAAAAAACCTTACAGGAAAACCAACTGGTTTTGGCTCATTAACATTTATGGTAATGAGCTTTGCTCTGATTGGATCGCTGCCGTGAAGCCTGCTGTGCTCTGATTGGCTCAGCAGTGGAGGTTCGGATTTCGGTTTATCCACTGTTATTATGCTAATGCTAATAGCATATGCTAATGTGTGCTAAAGTAAGGTGCCCAGATGTCTGTAATGATATCCGGGGATATTCGGTGCGGCGGCGGCGGTGGTGCAGGGGCTGCAGGGGCTGTGTGATCACAGACAAAGTCTCGGTACTATTTAGTAGCAGCGCATGCCCCTTGTAATAACCCTGTAAGAACTGTTGTTCAGGACTGCTAACTAAATTCGGCTACTGTAATAACCGTTGTTCGAGCCCACACGCAACATTTTTGCTCTCATTCATGAAACGCTTAAATCGGGGACATTTTCGGGGACAGCTTTTGCCGGGGACAGATCATCCAATACGAGGACTGTCCCCGGAAATCGGGGACGTCTGGTCACCTTATGCTAAAGGCTAAAAACGGCAGGTATTAAACCATATATTTTAGACCCCGAGTCCGAAGAGGAGGTGGAAGTTGAGGAAGAAGCCGGAGATCTCCAGCGGTGTTTTCTCATTCATTCTGCCCGGCTTTAAGTTCATTTTCCCGGCAGTGAACCGAAGGAAACACCGATCGTTTGGAAGAGACCCATAGCGGATACAGCGGTAGCTGGGTCTCGCTTTGGCTGTGAATGAGTACGAGAACGAGAGAGTAGGCAGGGCTCACCGAGGACGCGCTCGTGAATAATAATGAGCAAGGTCCGCGCAACGTAACACCGACGGGCTTTTTCTATTGGCCTGGTTTACTCGTTCCTTGAGTTTAAACCTTTACAGAATGCAAACGACGTAACGGTTTGTTTTCACATGTACAACATAAGACGAACATAATATGGACCTTATATGACACAAAACCCCCCAAAAATTACATTTTTATGGCAGGTCCCCTTTAAGACAGTAACAAGAGTTATTTTTTCCTTCTTCACTTGGGTCCTGGATAATACCAATCCAAGAGGTGTTTTAAAATGGCTTCTTTCTGACATCTGGTGGACACAATGAGAAGGGATGTCTGAGATATTCTGTGTCATATTTTTGCAGAGGGGGGATTACTTTGGATTAATAAGGCATAAGAAGTCTGGTTCATTCAAGGTTGAAAGTCTATAAAATACTTCACAAGCTCCAACAGCCGGAGAGCTGGAGAATCACTGAAAAGTGTTGCATGACTGTATCCCTTTTCAACAAAACTACAAAATCATTTAACAATAGACAAAACTCAAATTTATTAATTCACAAAAGACTTATCCAGTGGTTATAAAATAGAGCGCTGCAATAGTTTGTACAATGAATCATGGAGCCCAAGGAAGACAAGGAATAAAGAATGAGCACAGACAAAAATATCAGTTAAAAAGTGCTAGATTGGAAAAAATGTCAGAAAAATACTATTATCAATGAAGAAATCTAAAGTGAACTGATTGGTATATGAAAATCTGTTTACATTCAAATAGCGCTTCATGAGAGACACCTCAGAGTTCCTATTCAAAAAGACTTTTTCATTAGGTCAAAGTGCAAAGACTCGGAGGGGTGAAATATGGTGTTAGTACCCTTAACTATTAACAAGACAGAAACATCTGTTTTCTTCTACATTAAAACAGGCATCAACATCAACAATAAATAACAGCATTTGTTCAGTGCAAAACTACACAAAAATGAAAAAAAAAAAAAAACTTCCTTTACCAAAACAAACCTTCAACCGTGAAACATAAAACACTCATTCAAAATCAGGATTTCAAAGCAAACCACAAATGAAATCCTCATTTACTTATAATCTGAGAAAAATCCAAGTGTGTTTGAGAATGGAATTAATAACAGTGACTACCTATTTAGTGGTGACACATTCAGTCATGAAAGAGTGACGTTTACAGCTCCTATGATGACAAGGAAACATGTATCAGCAAACAAAAAAAAAAATGTAAGGGCTGTTAAACTTGATTTAAACCGGTTCTGTTATTCTGACTTCATTTCACTTGTTCTAGACTTTGTCTGCTTCTTCTTCTTTTCTATCCCTCTGATCTATCAAAACAACCAAACACATCAGTGAGCTGGGATATCAAGATCTTTTCAAATCACTTTACCAATCATTGATGGGGAGATGAGGGATAATTGAAATGTGTCTTTAAAAGGAGGCTTGATGAAGGGATTTCATTGTGTTGTCGTGGTGACCATTTTGGCATCAAGGGATGAAAAAAGACCTTATAGACCATGATAGTGTCCTTTAAGGCTGCATAGCTTGTGTATAACCACACATGGAGGCATACGGTGGTAATAGTTCATGAATTTATGAATTTATTCTTTATTGTGTGTGTGTGTGTGTGTGTGTGTGTGTGTGTGTGTGTGTGTGTGTGTGTGTGTGTGCACGCACTATGTCTGGGCCAGCTGTAGCTCCTCCAGACCATGTTTGCCCAGGTGATATCTCGCCAAGTCTTTCCTGGTCACGAGTCCAACCACCTGTGCAGGATCACAAAAAAAGGAACAAAATGATGGTGGAACAAAATACATCAACCCACATTAGCTATGGTCTGTCTTCTGTTCTTGGTGTGCACCTGACTGGTATCTCATATGACATAGACACCAAGACGGACACTAAAGCAAATAAAAAACAAACTCTAATTTGGGAAAAGAACTTGACAAAATAATAATAATAATACATTTTATTTGTAGCGCCTTTCATGTCACTCAAGGACACTTTACAGAACATATAAAACAATAATAACAGAACACTATTAACAATTAAAATAAAAAAATCCAAATTCGATTAGATATACTTGGAGAAGGCAAAATCAGGCGAGTAGAATTGATTTCTTTTTAATATCCTTTTCTCTTGTATCAAAAGTAACTAGTGTGTCAATAGAGGATAAACTACGATCTGACCATAATTCTATTGGATTAAATTTTTCAATACTGGGAAACATATGTGGACCAGGATATTGGAAATTTAATCAAAGTCTTCTCGAGGATGAGGATTTTGTCTGTAAAACTAAGATATTCATAAATGACTTTTTTGCACATAACATTGGTACAGCAAAACCTACATCAGTTTGGGAAGCATTCAAATGGAGTTTTAGAGGACATGCAATTGCTTATTCTTCTTGGAAAAAAAATCAAATTAAAATGAAAGAACAAACTTTAAAAACAGAAGTAGAGCAGTTGACTCAAAGTATTGATAAGGTGGCTGATGCACCTAGAGATCAGTTAAATGACTTGAAAAATAAACAGGATGAATTATATGATTTAATAGAAAATCGCCTGTCAAGAAGTTACTATTATAAAAGAGCAGAATGGATGGAGAAAGGGGAAAAATGTTCAAAACTCTTTTTGAGCCTTCAGCATAGGAATTACTCAAAAAAAAATATTTCCAAATTAATTATGAACAATGGGGATGAAGTATGTACACAGACAGAGATATTAAATGAATTAGAAAACTACTTTACTAAGATATTTTCATTCCAGTCGTCACCTCCACTTAGCTCCCCAAACTTTTTCCCACAAATGTATGAAAGAAAATTAAGCAATATGCAGAAACAATCATGTGAGGGTCTGATTACTGAGGAGGAACTTCTTTTGGCAGTAATGTCATTTTCACCAGGGAAAACACCTGGTATGGATGGAATACCAATTGAGGTTTATCAGAAATTTTTTGACTTGGTTAAAGGACCACTGCTCTCCTGTTTTAATTTTTCTTATGGCGATGGATATTTACCTGATTCTCAGAAAGAAGGGCTTATTTCTTTGTTACTCAAGCAAGAACCAAGTGGCCAATATAAGGACCCTGTGAATCTCAAGAATTGGAGACCAATAACTCTCCAAGGTTATGATGCTAAGATACTTGCAAAATGTATAGCTCAGAGATTGAAAAAAGTGTTAACAAGTATTATTCATCAAGACCAATCAGGATTTTTACAGGGTCGTAATATTAGTAATAATATCAGACAGCTGCTGGAGATTAATGAAAATTATGAGCTGAATAACAAAGCTGGGTTAATTTTTATTGCTGACTTGGAAAAAGCCTTTGATAAGGTCAGTTTAGAATTTATTTTTAAAAGCTTAGATTTTTTTAATTTTGGAAACTCCTTAATAAACTGGGTTAGAGTATTATATAATGACACTAATTGTAAGATTCAGGCATGAAAATGGGTCAGGGGTTGAAAAGGTGAGAAGCGGGGGGGGGGGGGGTGAAGAGTGATTGAAGATAATTATTAGTATAATAGTATAATAAACTCTTAAATACAACGGAGTATGAGGGCCACATTAAGACAAAAAACGTTTTTAAATCTTAGACCAAAAAGTTATTATTTAGGAGAATAAAGTCATTAATAGGAGCATTTAGATGAATTGTACTTTAGTATAGTTTTCACAAACATGGAGATACTTAATCCTTTGGTACATGAGTGTTACACTGTCAGAACTTTAAAAAGAATATATAAGAAATGCTGCTTTTGTGGAGGGGAAAATGGCTGGAAATGGCTCCAAAGAGGCTAAATTCATCAATACAGCTGTTAATAGCAATAGCATAGGGCTTTAGTTTATCATATGAGTTTATCTGCCATGAGGTGTTGAGGTCTCTGCATGTGTAGGTTACCGACTTACTGTAATCATCAGGTCTTTCTCGTCTTTATAAAAACCTGCTCTATTTCGGCGAGTGTCTGTCTTCTTCTGTAGTCAAACCGCAAGATATCAAAATCTACCCGGTTACAGCAATGCTGCTTTTTGATTGGCTGTTCAGTAGATATACTTTATTTGATTGGCTTGCGCGTGGCACGCAGCTTCTGAACTCTCGGAGGAACTCAGTTGATTTCCACCTGTTACATTGTTACAGAAGTGCAACTTTGTGGACATCACCATGTTCATATGCGTGAGAAATACAATGTGTGGCGTGTGAACGGGTGGGAATGCGTGTGTCACACGCTGAATGCGTGAGACTTGAGAGCCCTGCAGAGCAGTAAACCCGAGACGCCCGCTTTCGCTATTTTAGATGGATCAAAACTTGGATTATTTCGCCTTGTTGTGTACTTTCAACCGCGCTCCCGTCAGGGGGGCTTTCTACGTCAGGGGTGCATTCTACGGCACAACACCGACGTGGATAAGTCCTGCTTCTCGTTCTCGCAGCTTTGCAATGCTACCACAGGCTCTCCAAGCACTCCAAGTGCACGTGAAGAATGTGCGCATGATTGGAATAATGGAACGCAGTTTGGCCTATGATTGGTTCTCGTCAGCGAAGGAGCCAGGAGGATTTGCTGACCGTCCAAGTGTCATTTAAAGGGCCGATTTCTGAAGCGCTCAGTTTACGTCAATCACATGATAATAAAAGAACAAAAAATGTTTTGGGTATTGTGATTCCAGAAAATTTAGAAGACCTGAGTATGCTGAACTATAATAATAGGCTGACAAAGATAGATAAGATTTTACAACCATGGAAGGGGAAAACATTAACACTTTTTGGTAAAATCACCCTAGTTAATGTCTTGGTTGGATCACAATTTATTTATCTTTTTATGTCCCTCCCAATCCCATCACAATCCTTCTTTAAGGGTTATGAGCAAAAGATCTTTAAGTTCCTCTGGAATAATAAACCAGAGAGGATCAAAAGAGGAGTCTTCTACAACAATTATGAACAGGGTGGGTTAAAATTACTGAATTTAGAGTCTCTCTGTTTTTCCCTTAAATCCTCCTTAGTTCAGAAATTATTCTTGAATGAAGACTGGTTTTCATGTAAGATACTGGAGAACACCCATTTACTGTTCCAAAAAAGATTATATCCTTTCCTACAGATTCAGCCAAATCATATAGATTGTGTGAATAAGACGATTGGAAATGTTTCCACCTTTTTAAAGGAAGCAATTCAATGCTGGCTGAGTTTTCAGTTTCATCCTCCAGAAAACCGTGATGAAATTTTACAGCAAATAATATGGTTTAATTCAAATATCTTAATTGAAGGGAAACCAATTTTCTGGAAAAATGTCTTTGATCATGGTGTATTGTTTATAAATGATATTGTTGATGAAGATGGGAAACTGATGAAGTATAGCCAATTTATTGAAATGTATGATATGATTTGTTCCCATCATTCATATAATCAGTTGATTTCTGCCATAGAAAGAGATTGGAAACAAAAGATTGATAGTGGGACGTCAAAGTTATTTGTTTGTCAGCCTTCTATAAGAAATGTAAGATGGTTAAAAGGAAATAAAATAAATGGAAATATGTATAAATTCCACTTAACCTCTAGATCACTAATGCTAACACCTTATAATACCTATAAAAAATGGGAGGATATTTTTGATTTTCCTATCCCATGGCAACATGTATTCAAGCTATTGTTCAAAACAACTGTAGACACATTTTTAAGATCCTTTCAGTTAAAAATCATTTATAATTTTTTGTCTACTAGAAAAATGCTTAAAATTTGGGGTATTATTGAGACAGATGAGTGTCGTTTTTGTTCAATGGAATCTGAATCAACAGTACATCTGTTTTGGTATTGTCATGTTGTCTCTACTTTTTGGAGGGAGGTTCAAAGAATGTGTATTGCTATGAAGATGTGTTTTACATGTGACTTCTTTTCTGTTATGCTTGGAGATGTTACAGAAACAAGCAGTTATATTATTAATTTAATTATTTTGTTGGGAAAGAGATTTATTTTTGAAGCTGACAGTGCAAATTCTTTGAATATCAAGCAATTTAAGATGTTTATTAAACGTCACTTTATTTTGGAGGGGTATACTGCTAATATGAAAGGGGATGTTGGACAGTATTTGGAAAGGTGGGAAGCATTTATTGAAGTGGAAGGCTGGCATTTAACTTAAAAAAAATGGAAAGCAAAACTTAGTGCACTGTTTGATGTTTTTTTAATTTTATTTCCTCCTACCCTTTATTATATTATTATTTATTGAATTTGCTGATGCACTGTATGTTTTATGTTGTAATGATGTTTTTGGTGTGTGCTTGTGTTAATTGTTTTTAATTAGCTTCGTTTGTTTGTTTTTGTGATTATTACTGTTCTGTCTATTGGTGGTTTATGTCATGTTATGTTATTTTTGTTCAAATAAAAAAAAATAATAATAAAAAAAATAAAATAAAAACAATTAAAATCAACATCCAAACCAAGATGAAAAATAAAGTAAAAACAAACTGAAACTGACAACAAACTGTTGAAAAGGAGATTGACTAGCAGAACATTAGCTAAAATAATTAGGACTACACATGGGTTACACAAACACAGACACACACACACTCTTACCCTGTTTGAATCATCTACCACCACCAGGTGTCTGAGTCCCAGAGCTCTGAACAGCTTGAACACACGTGGCAGAGATGTTTCCTGAGAAGAAAAGCCTCTTTATAATGTATTGCTACTTCAAAGTCCTTGTTTTGTAGTATTTTAGCAACCCTATTGGAGCTTTACATCTTCACACACACGTACGCATGCACGCAGACACACCACTGCTGCATTGCTCACCTTCTTCTTACTGTTTGTTCTTTCCCTCTATGTGTCTGCCTTGGTAACTTTCATATCAGCAGGATGTCAAAATACAGTCTCAAAATTAAATTCTCCCCCTCTTGGGATTCACTATTCTCTTCAGGTGAGCTGCCTGTAGATGCTTATTGCTTATAACAAAGCATATCAAAATGATCCGATTTAAATCCAAGCTTTAACAGTGGAAGAGCACAGCATGTGTGTGTCTCTGTGCTGCATGTTTTAAGACAGGTACAGTGAGGATGCAGAGACAACACAGATGGTGTTAAAGCACAGGCAGGTTAAACAACATGAGTTCAATGCTGAGTATTGGCTTGTCAGCTGCTCCCATCATGCCTTTACAGATGCTTCGGATGGTTGTAGGTGGTCAGGGGTTGTAATAAAGCCTGAGTAATCTGAGTAAACAACTTAAAAAATATATATATTATCAATTTATGAAAGCAACTAGCTGTATTGACATCCCCACTTTTTAAATGAGATAAAGAAGCAAATAAGAGTCAGAAACAGCTAAAACTAAAGCTGTCAGAGAAACCTTAAAGGCATCGACTTTTATCAGATTCAGTTTAACTCATACAGACTGGGGCACCTTATTCACATTATAAGATAAGCCATGCAACATCCTTCAAACTGTTGTAAATCCCTGATGCAGCACATCTGCATGTGTGTTTTACCTGTGGCACAGTGTAAGGTGTTGCATTCATGAACTCTGTGAGGTCCATCATACACTCCCTCTCATCCTGGGAAACATGGATGCTCTGGATCGGGGGGAAGCGGGGATAAGCATCTCTAAAGTCCTTCAGCTGGAGCTTCCTCTGAGTCAGTCGGGTTCTGGCCAACTCCACAAATACCTTTCAAGATAGAGTGGGGGAAATAATGATGGAATGCATTTAAAGCATTTTAATTATTATGGTTTGTCTGTTGCTGATGTTACCTTGTGCTTGAGGAGTACGATGAGCTGTGAGCGGAGGATGAGGCCGCAGAGCTTTGGTGCCTGTACAAGGGAGACCAGTCAATGCTTTAATTAATGAAACAACAATGGTTTCGCCTTGCAGCTCAACCTTACCGTCGTATCTATCCCTTAACACTACAGTATCACCAGGTTTGCGACCACAAGATGCCCTGGATGTACATTTTGCTGTAGTAGTAGCTACTATTTTTAGAACTTCATTGAATTTTTCCCTCAAGTTTAACTGAATTTTTTGGAGAATGTCAACTTAGAGGCAACAAAACAGCCCAGATGGTGGAGCAGGTGCCCAACGCACAGAAGCTATTGGGAAAAGTTCTGGTATGATGTGTTGTCTTATCGCCTCCCACTTCTCCTGTCTTTCTGCGATTGTCCGATCAAAAATTAAAGGTTCAAAAGCCTGAAGTACTTGGAAATAAAAAAAGGCCCCAAAACTTCAAGGCAAATGAAAAAAATGTCTAAGAAGGATTTATAAGGAAAAAATATGAAACAAAGCCAGAATACATTACCTCATCACCTAGAGTAACCTCCACAACGACTGGGAAGCCATTGTGATTGGTGGATGTGTTACTGAGGATGTCAACAATGGCTCCAACCTTCTCTATCCTGTTCAGACATGTGACTGGAGAACTCATCACCTCTCTGGACGAGCAGACAGGAGAAAAAAGTGTGAGAAAAACTTCAAGTTCAAAAACTCCAAGCTCAGGTAAAATTTGAATATCTGAATGCTGTAATTATCAGCAGAACTCAGTCAGAACTTATGTTTGACAGTTAATAAGAAATACAGCTCAGTCATGTCCTTCAATGTTTTGAACATGAAATACAAACAGAATCCATGTTACCTTGCAGTCAACCAATGTGAGGTGGCAGGAGCCTCCCAGTGCAGGAAGGGGACACTCTGCAGCTTGATGTGGATGTCGTACAGACCCTGAAGGAAAGAGACACATCAAACACAGAAGGCTTGTGTCTCACAGATAACTTTACAATACAATGCAACGTATACAGTTGTGTCTTACAGTATATCTGAATACAACTATGCCCAAGACAACCAAACTGGCACCATCAACACTCCACATTTGGTCACCATGGGCTCTATTTTCGTTTAGGCCCATGAGGCGACGGAGGGCAGCGAGCCCCGCGCAGTTGTATTTTCGTCTGGCGGAGCCCGACGTACGGCCAGTTTGGTATTTTCGTGGACTGAGGCGCACGGAGGCGAGCCGAGATCCACCAAGCTGGGCGTGGTGGCGTGGCAGGGGGAGGTGTCGACAGAATCAGCGGGCGCAGTGACATTTTCGTGCTCGCCACCGGCGTGTAAAGTGCGCTGAAAGCTCGCCGATTCAAACCTGGTCAGCTTTCAGCGCAGGCGGATCGCAGCTGGTCTAGTAGTATTTTGGTAGACCGGCGGCGTATCGGCATACGTCACCGATGCCTCACCGGCAGGTTTCCACAGTGTCAGGCACATTTTAGTGCAATAAATAATCATCAACAACTATTAATCTGAGTCAGCACATACATTAAGATCTGTATAGCTATGGCACGCGTTTGGACACACGACCTGACCGAATCAACACAGCTGAAACCGCATTAAATTGAATTAAATATCCAGTAAATAGACACACATGATGAAGTTAACTAGATATGTAATTCGTCTCCCTCCTTTTCTTTCTTCCTCTTCCCCTTATTTCTCGCGCAGCTCGACCTGGACACGTCTCCGTGTCCTCTCTCTGTCCTGCAGCAGCTGAACAGATGATTTGTTTCAGTGCCCAGATGCGTTATCTACTTTAAGCCGACATACGGATATTATGATATTCAGTTTTGTGAGTCAAATTTATTTTATATGCCAACATCTATGAAAGAAAGAGCCCCGCCACGGAGCGCAATGCGTCATTTACGCACAGATGGTTCCGATTTTAATGCCATTTTTGGAGTTTATGTTGTGATCTGTGCGCTCAACCCACCTTTGTCACATGAGGTTTGAATATGAGCAACTTTATGTGAGTGTCTTTATTTGTGGAAAAGGGTGTTTGTCTTACCAGTGGGTCCAAACTTACACACACCAAATCCATCTGTACTCATATGAGAGAGTGTGGAGGACGCCCAATGCAGCGCTTACAGTGACACTTGTTGAGGAGCTGCCCTTTGTCGCCATCTTGTGGCATAACTGTCTTCAGACATCTCTTGATCTCCTTGACTACTTCATGAAAATTGTAATACGCCTCGCCGGTGGCGGATTTAAAGGCAAGGAGAGGAGCTGATGTGATTGGTGAAAACAGGTCTCGGCTGTGTTAAACCCACTCCCCGCCCTCTCTCCTCCCTCGCCACGACTTACGCCGCTGGGAGGAGCTGAGTTAGGGAGGCGGGATACTTACGCCGGGCTGCACCGCTCACCAAAATACCAAATTGTGCTTGGGAACGCCTTGTCGGCGCGGCGGACCTGACTTACGACGCGCCTGCGGCACGTCTCCGGCGAGGCACGAAAATAGAGCCCCATGTGTTTGACATGCTTAGTATTGACTGATTTCCATACTAGAACATAGCAAGGTGACAGCAGCACTTTATTTCACTTTTGGTTCTTGACAATAGCGTATCAGAGGGTTCAAAGTTGAAATTTTTAAACAGCTGTCCATTCAAACTTTACAGAAGATTCCAGAAAGTATCAAATGATCACAACTGAAAGCTAACTAGCTTAGTGTAATGGGGACTGCAGCTGTGATTGATGCCCTGTTAGAGCCCAATTTGTAACAATGACCCGAACTGTAATAAAAAAATGAAACAAAACCCGAAATGTGATAACTGGTTGATAATGTAACAAGATGCTAAGCCCAAAAATGAGCATATATATATATATATATGTGTGTGTGTGTATATATACATATATATATATACACATATATTTACATACATATATATATATATATATATACACATATATACACTCACCGCCCACTTTATTAGGTACACCTGTCCAACTGCTCGTTAACACTTAATTTCTAATCAGCCAATCACATGGCGGCAACTTAGTGCATTTAGGCATGTAGACATGGTCAAGACAATCTCCTGCAGTTCAAACCGAGCATCAGTATGGGGAAGAAAGGTGATTTGAGTGACTTTGAACGTGGCATGGTTGTTGGTGCCAGAAGGGCTGGTCTGAGTATTTCAGAAACTGCTGATCTACTGGGATTTTCACGCACAACCATCGCTAGGGTTTACAGAGAATGGTTCGAAAAAGAAAAAATATCCAGTGAGCGGCAGTTCTGTGGGCGGAAATGCCTTGTTGATGCCAGAGGTCAGAGGAGAATGGCCAGACTGGTTCGAGCTGATAGAAAGGCAACAGTGACTCAAATAACCACCCGTTACAACCAAGGTAGGCAGAAGAGCATCTCTGAACGCACAGTACGTCGAACTTTGAGGCAGATGGGCTACAGCAGCAGAAGACCACACCGGGTGCCACTCCTTTCAGCTAAGAACAGGAAACTGAGGCTACAATTTGCACAAGCTCATCGAAATTGGACAATAGAAGATTGGAAAAACGTTGCCTGGTCTGATGAGTCTCGATTTCTGCTGCGACATTCGGATGGTAGGGTCAGAATTTGGCGTCAACAACATGAAAGCATGGATCCATCCTGCCTTGTATCAACCGTTCAGGCTGGTGGTGGTGGTGTCATGGTGTGGGGAATATTTTCTTGGCACTCTTTGGGCCCCTTGGTACCAATTGAGCATCGTTGCAACGCCACAGCCTACCTGAGTATTGTTGCTGACCATGTCCATCCCTTTATGACCACAATGTACCCAACTTCTGATGGCTACTTTCAGCAGGATAATGCGCCATGTCATAAAGCTGGAATCATCTCAGACTGGTTTCTTGAACATGACAATGAGTTCACTGTACTCAAATGGCCTCCACAGTCACCAGATCTCAATCCAATAGAGCATCTTTGGGATGTGGTGGAACGGGAGATTCGCATCATGGATGTGCAGCCGACAAATCTGCGGCAACTGTGTGATGCCATCATGTCAATATGGACCAAGCTCTCTGAGGAATGCTTCCAGCACCTTGTTGAATCTATGCCACGAAGAATTGAGGCAGTTCTGAAGGCAAAAGGGGGTCCAACCCGTTACTAGCATGGTGTACCTAATAAAGTGGCCGGTGAGTGTATATAATATATACAGCGGTTGAAAAGGTGAGAAGGGTGCGGAGGAAATACGTTCCGGTACACTGTACAACCCAACAATATATTGAGCTCTGTCCACCCATTGTGTTTCAGTGATCTGCAGGAGGCGCCAAAAACACTCCAAGTCTCTCTCTCACACACACACACACACACACACACACACACCACATGCATCTTGTGCTGGCCATGTTTTATTTAGAAACAAAGTTTACTTTCACAGAAGCTAAATGAGTTAGATGAGTCAGAGAGAGGTGTTCAAAACTGTTTGTATAAGGCCATATGAACAATAATAATTTAAAGAAAAAAAAAAACAGAATAAAAAAAATAAAGACTTTACCTCCTGCACTTTAGATCAATGTATGCCCTGCCAGACTGGAGAATAATACATGCAATTCCAAGAGATCCAATACCAAGTCCAATTGATCATTTTTTCTTTTTGCCTGGGACGCCAAGGTCTCCATGGCCTTTACGCTGAGTGGCCACATAATAATAGCAATAATAATGCATCAGATTTCATATAGCGATTTATCAGAGACCCTCAAAGCGCTTTACATTGGATACATCATTCATTCGCTCACACAGTCACACTTTGGTGGTGGTAAACTACCTTAGTAGTCACAGCTGCCCTGGGGCAGACTGACGGAAACGTGGCTGACATTTTGCGCCTACGGCCTCTCCGACCACCACCACACAACACTCACAATCATACACCAGTGGAGGACACACACTGGGAGCAAGGTGGGTTAAGTGTCTTGCCCAAGGACACAACGGACAGACTTGGGATAGGGGGAAACGAACCGCCAACCTTCCAGTTATATATATATATATATGTATATACATACATATATACATACATCTATATACATATCTATATACATACATATCTATATACATACATATATATACATATACATATATATATATATATACATATACATATATACAGTATATACATACATATACATATATATATATAAATAAAGTGAAGCATGGATAATGATACATTTATTGCACTATGATCAATGTGATCAGTAATATATGTTGGTTGAGGGGGACAGGTGATCACATCTATGCATGTTAGTGATAATTTCTATTTAGTGTTATTCCAGTGGGTCTTTTTATTTGGTTGACTATCTGTTTCTCTTACCTCTACAAAGTAGTCTCCCACTATCTTGGCAGTCATAAGGACAAGCATGATGGGAAGACCATATGTGACGTTTCCTGTTGCCTCCACCATGATGACGGTCAAACTGAGAGTCATCCTCACAATGCCACCTGTGAAGAGCTGGAAATTATTACTGGTGTTACACTTACAAGGTATTTGACAAAATACATACCTATCATGAATTAAAAACTGGAAGCCAGGTTTCTGTCTGTCTGCCCCAGGGCAGCTTTAACTACTAAGGTATTTACCACCACTAAGGTTTGACTGTGTGACTGAATGAATGATGTATCTAATGTAAAGTGCTTTGAGGGTATCTGATAAAGCGCTATATGAAAATGATGCATTATTACTATTATTATTATTATTATTATTATTATAAACAAAAGAGGCAAGACTCTTATTTATAGCCAGGGTAAGTGTCACAGTGCATAGTGCTCAGGATAACACTATATCTCCTGTTTTATTTCTTGTTCAGCTCTCAGCACACACAAAGGATAAATATACTCACCCAACTGAGCCGCTGCTCCAATCAGAGCATATTTACCAGGGTCAGCCCAGATCTAATAACACACAAACACACACAAAGGGAAGTCATAGTAACATGAATATTTGCTGAGTCAAAGACAAATCAGCTATCACATTTTATTTTCCTAAACTTTATTATCGAGTATTGAGATTGAAGAAACCTTGAAGACATTTTGGCAACCCTTATATGTTATAAGTTACACTTTATTCTCTTCTAAATCCTATTTATTTCAAGACAAGGTAATAAGAGATAAATTTCAGATTCAGCAATGTTGAGAACTGATGACAAGTATTCACAGTGGGTGTGTGACAATCACTTAATGTCAGGTATGTCTGTATCTTAACATCATAAATAAAAATCTGGTTCATTTAGAGAAGTCAGTTAAGTCCTCTGGATCTTAGGGTAATCAGCAGATTTTTTTCACAACAGAAAACATCAAAAAAAGAAGCTTTTTTAAAAAAAAAAAAAATCAGTAATAGTCCCAAAGTCCACCATACCATGCCCTGCTTTAGGTGGGAACTCATGACAACTTATAAGAACTCGTGGGAATGGAGAGGCATACTTTCTTTCAACCATCATTTTGCTTAGAGCATAAAAACACACAAGAACTTGCCGAGCCAGTGGAGGTGATTGAGGCCAGCAAGATCCCACACAGTCGTCCCCAGGCTGCTCCGATCAGAAGAGAGGGAATGAAGACTCCAGCAGACACCGCCAGGCCATACGTCCAGCATGCCAGGAAGAAATAAGTCAGAGTAAACAAACCCAGGGTCAAAGGATTGTAGGTTCCTTTGTGAAAGAGAGGAATTTGTCAGAGTATCAGAACAAAGTTTCCAGGGCCATAGGCTAAACAAAGGAGAAAATGGCTCCTACTGTACTAAAGCTGTGTGGCAGGCTTTACCTGGCTGGTTGTGGAAGAGACTTCGAACACTTCTCTCAGGAGTGTTAAAGAAGGCTGTGGCCATGGAGTTATATTCTCCATCCGCACAGAACAACTGCAGGACATAGAAAGAGACACAGACAATGAAAAGAGTGACAAAAAGAGTCCGGTCGAGACTTTGTTTGAAAAGACAGTTCTAATAAAACATTAACACTTCCCCTGCCATGCTTTCACTATAACACAATTGGTGGTACTGCAACACTCCATAAACAAATGGAGAAGCTCCACCGATAACAGAGAGGAGCCAGGTACAGGTGGAGACAAGAGCACCAAATATTTAGACTCGAACCATGTGTTTTCAAGGAGATTGCACCTTAACCTACTGACCTTTGTGTATTTATTTACATGAAATTAAGGGAAGAAGTTTGCTGCAGTTTATTGAGTTATTGATTTAAGAACTTCTGTGCCATTATCCTCTGTCTGAGGATGATGGGGGGAGCAGAACTGTGCTCAGAGCACTGGTATATTAGTTTTTAATAATAAAGAAAGAAAGAATGGAACAAGTTCGAACAACATGGGATTTTATTAATGAGAACTAAAGTGTTGTCATTTCAATATATTAATTAAATATTTATAAGAAAATATTTTGGGAGCTGAAAAGTTCACTAAATTTGGCTGCGGCTGGCATCTTTTCCATAAAATGCTGGTGGTGAAAGAGTTGGAGGTCAGAGATCATCTATTTGAAGACTTCATCCTCAGGGGACAAAGAACGTCTGTTTGTAATGGCTTCATGGTGGTGCTCTGAGGAAAATGCTAAATCACTAAAGTCTGCTGGATTCAACCTCTGGTGAGCATGAATATAAAAAACACTTAAAAACAATGTGAGCATTCACTTCCAGAGAGGCATGTTCTGAGTCTTCAAATGACTGTCCCTTTTGCAAACACCATGCAGTGCAAAATGTCTACATGTAAGTGCAACGATGCAGGACTCTGCCAGTTGGTATTTGTTGAATTTACTATTTGGACTAGAAAATGTCAGATGTGTGTGTGTGTGTGTGTGTGTGTGTGTGTGTGTGTGTGTGTGTGTGTGTGTGTGTGTGTGTGTGTGTGAATAGCGTATACCTGCAGTGGGTACTCCTCTGTGTGCTCTGGTCCCAGAGGCTGACAGTCATTGGAGAAGTAGATCATGGTGAATGAAACTGCAGCTGTCACTGCAGCAACCAACATGGCCTCCATCACTTGCAAACAGGGACGGTGGACATACCTGTGGCATGCACGCACACACGCATGCACGCACACACAAAAAAAAAAAAATTAATAAAACAAAACAACTGGTGGTGAACTGCATTAAGACTCTGATCAACCAGATACTTTCCAAATGGTGGTTTGTTGTCTCTGTGTGGACTTTCCAAACAATGAGGAAACGCTTTGTCTGCAAACTATGCTGGCATGCATGCCAACATGGTTGTTTATGCCTCTAGGTAAAGTCTTTGTAAGTGTGATGTGAAGTCAATCCATTGTTATTAAAGGTGATCCAACTACAGACTTTCAGATAACAAAGTTGTGTTTTTGGACACAAAGGACATGAGCAAAGAGTCCAGATGTTGCTACATTTACTTTGATGACAAGAGTTCAACAAACACGGTGTAAAAGCCCTCTGTTGAATGTTTTTACCACCACACTGTTCTAGTTGGGCTGTTTGAAGACCAGATGAAATGGAGTTGTCGTAAAGTAGAGCCGTTTCCCAATGGAGACCAAAAATTTAATTTAAAAACCAGTTTGTTTCTTTGTTTTCCTATATCAAAAAGAATACTGGGAAATGAGCTGCCAAGTGAAAAGAGGATTCAGGACATTTAACAGGTTTGTTTTTAGCCTGAGCTCCACCTGCAGATTTGACTGCACAGAGCCACCTTGACTGACAGTTGATGTGCATGCCCTAAATTCATTTTACAGGAGAAGTACCTGTTAACCTCTAGCCCAGGACACAAATGTGCTCAAAAGTACACACCAAGTTCGATGAGTGCATAACTTGTTATGCTGGCCCAACAGAGGCTGTCCCCAGCTTGAATGATCTGAACACAACTTTTAGAAATAGTATTAACAATAAAACACTTCCAGACAAGGAAGCAGGAACAACAGGTATATTAGCAGAAGTCTCCTCATGGTCATACCTGATTCTCTCTATTTAATGACAGTAATCACAACATGCTGACATTCTGAGACACTGTTTTAACAGCTCATGTGAAAATATCCTCAGCCTGCACCACACCCTGTCTTTCACACACAATAGCCAAGCCCTTATACAGTCTTGTGTTGTTTTTCTTGGCACACTGCACACTCGTCACCTGATTCGATTTTAAAGAAGTCCCCCAACATGGTTCCGCCTTGCTTTGAGTTCAATAGCACATGATCCAATTCTGAATCTTACCTGATCCTGAAGATGGTTAGCCAGTAGTTGAGGACGTTGAACAGAGCTCCTAGTAATCCACCTGCAGAGATGTATCCTTGTTTACAAAACAATGTTTACAACCAGAGCAACAAATACACCAATACTAATGCAAAAAATACGCTATCCAAGGACTATGGATATAGATTGTAGCTGAGTCACATGACGTCATCAGATATAACTGTGGTATTATCAAATTATTTCACCTATAGCTCCCATGGCGATAAACAGGGGAATCTCATAAAGGTTGTAGGCAACACTCTGGAAAGACAAAAAGTGGCATCATAGTATCTTTACTACAAAAACACAATATAATCACAATACAACAAAAATATAGAGTTATTAATATATCTTGTTTGTGACACCACTATTGATGTTTAAGGTCTTTCATTTGACAATCAGCCTTTGTTTAAGAGAATATTGTGAGTATAAATAAGTTTCATACGTCAGTCTCAAAGCGTCCAAAGTTGATGAGACCAGGGTTGGAAAGGTCTCCTGGGTTGTTGTGGTAAATACTGAGGAAGAAGTTCAGGGTGAAGGTGGAGATCATGGAGGCAAAGAACTGCATAGGAGACAGAAACAGGAGACAGAAACAGACATTATTTCCTACCCTCTCCCATCAAATCTGCTCCTACATTCTCTATCATATCTAAGTGTTGGGGATATAAGCACTCAAAGATGCTGAATGATAAGTCTATTATAGGTGACTTACAATCCTCCACGTTAGCATCTGGTTCCAGAAAGATGCTCCTTCCTCCAGAGAGAACAAAACACCACCTGTCAACCAAAGACATCCAAAAGAAAACCTTAGTCAACAACCAATAGCAGAGTTTTGTGTGAAGGCAGTGTTATCAAATCCTCAGTAAGGAAAGTTGCTAGTGGCTGTCATAAAAGTCGCTAGATGACGCCATCGCCTAATCTGCATAATGTCTCAGTCAAATGCATTGCGGGGTGTCTGTATGTATCTGTGTTTTTGATGCACACCGGCTACCCGTTGAGAACAGTAACATCGATATCTGCTTTCATGTTAGAGTCTCTAAACTCCAGATAAAGTCGCTAGATTTGTCGATTTTTTTTTTTTTTTTTTAAATAAGTCGCTAGGGGGGTCCGAAAAGTCACTAAATCAAGCGACAAAGTCGCTTGGTTGGCAACACTGTTTGAAGGGCTGATGTCAGGTTGGCTTTTAAGTCCTGTAACATTTTCTGAGTTGATCTCAGATTTAGCCATGGAAGAATGAGACATGCTTTTAGGAGCTTTTCTTAACACCACAGAATAACTATCTTCACCGACCAGTCATATTCAAGAATACATCCTTAAATATGGATACAGGCAAGGCTGAGATCCTGGATGTACAGGATTTGGTTATCATGATGAATCAGTGGTGACATAATCTTATCAGATCAGTTCATGCTTGTGTCCAAACAAGCATCTGTGCCACAGATATCTTTTCCAGCCACTCCTCAGATATCAGGTTAGCAAGAATATGATATGAAAGATGACTTGGAGGAGTTTTTTATTCATTTACCTGTTTATTTAATTTGGATTGCACTTATAAAACAACCTGGCAAATAGTGGAGTCCCTAAGCCCAAAAAATAAGCTGTAAACTTCAAGTCATGCTACAAATGTTCCCTTTGGTATGGAAGTACCTTAGGGGTCATAGGAAACATTTTATCCAAAGAGACAAGTTAGATCACCCTTCAATTTTTTTTAATAGCCATTTTAAAAATGGCCGCCGACAATAAACCGCCAATACACCAGACCCCGTATCTTTGCTTCTGTTAGAGCTATAATCATAATATTGGTGTCAAAGTGCACATTTTTGGGGTCTAGGAATTCAAGTAAATAAGTTTCAATGTAAAAAACCCAATGCATCATTAATTACCATGACAACGGGGGGTAAAATATGCAAATTTCATGAACAAATGTAAGTTTTGACAGGGTAACTTACCCCCCCACCCCTCCCCCTAAACTGAGATTTACTGTTCCTTTGGCATGGAAGTACCTTAGGGCCATAGGAAACATTTTATCCAAAGAGACAAGTTAGATCACCCTTCATTTATTTTATAGCCATTTTAAAAATGGCCGCCGACAATAAACCGCTAATACACCAGACCCCATATCTTTTCTTCTGTTGGAGCTATAATCATAATATTGGTGTCAAAGTGCACATTTTTGGGGTCTAGGAATTCAATTAAATAGGTTTCAATGTAAAAAACCCAATGCTTCATTAATTACCATGACAGTGGGAGGTAAAATATGCTAATTTCATGAAAAAATGCAAGTTTTGACAGGGTAATTTACCCCCCCAATTTACTTTTTCCTTGGTATGGAAGTATCTTAGGACCATAGGAAACATTTTATCCAAAAAGACAAGTCAACCATGTCTGTAGTCATTTGAAAGGGGAGAAGCTACTGAATCGATTGGCATCAGTCTTTCCAAAGACTACATTACCCAGCTTTGAAAAAAGCCGGGTGTAAAGTGTTCGGTAATCTTCTGTATTAAATAGGAAAGTAATACAAACCTCAAACTGAACCTCAAAGTGTCTCAGATTTTCTGTCACCTCTGATTTCATCCAGCTGTCACAGACCCTGGTATAGAATTCATGTTTTGTGGCAGCAACTGGCTACGAGAGGTGTAACACTCAGCAATCATACAGACAGATACAAATGCAGTCAGACAGAGACACATAGGGCTCTATTTTCGTGCCTCGCCGGAGACGTGCCGCAGGCGCGTCGTAAGTCAGGTCCGCCGCGCCGACAAGGCGTTCCCAAGCACATTTTGGTATTTTGGTGAGTGGTGCAGCCCGGCATAAGTATCCCCCCTCCCTAACTCAGCTCCTCCCAGCGGCGTAAATCGTAGTGAGGGAGGAGAAAGGGCATGGAGTGGATTTAACACAGCCGAGACCAGTTTTCACCAATCACATAAGCTCCTCTCCTTGCCTTTAAATCCGCCACTGGCGAGGCGTATTACTATTTTCGGGAAGTAGTCAAAGAGATCAAGAGCTGTCTGAAGACAACAATGCCACACGATGGCGACAGAAGGCAGCTCCTCAACAAGTGTCACTGTAAGCGCTGCATTGGGCATCCTCCACACTCTCTCATATGAGCACAGATGGATTTGGTGTGTGTAATGTTGGACCCACTGGTAAGACAAACACCCTTTCCACAAATAGACACTCACATAAAGTTGCATATATTCAAACCTCACGTGACAAAGGTGGGTTGAGCGCACAGATCACAACATAAACTCCAAAAATGGCATTAAAATCGGAACCATCTGTGCGTAAATGACGCATCGCGCTCCGTGGCCAGGCTCTTCCTTTCATAGATGTTGGCATATAAAATAAATTTGACTCACAAAACTGAATATTATAATATTCGTATGTAGGCTTAGAGTAAACAACTCATCTGATCACTGAAACAAATCATCTGTTCAGCAGCTGCAGCTGCGTGAAAAATACGAGGAAGAAAGAAAAGGAGGGAGACGAATTACGCCAAACGCGCTCATCAGATCAGATATAGATCAGAATATATCGATATAGATCTAAATGTATGTGCTGACTCAGATTAATAGTTGTTGATGATTATTTATTGCACTGAAATGTGCCTGACACTGTGGAAACCTGCTGGTGAGGCATCAGTGACGTATGCCGATATGCCGCCGGTCTACCAAAATACTACTAGACCAGCTGCGATCCGCCTGCGCTGAAAGCTGACCAGTTTTGAATCGGCGAGCTTTCAGCGCATTTTACACGCCGGTGGCGAGCACGAAAATGTCACTGCGCCCGCTGATTCTGTCGACACCTTCCCCTGCCACGCCACCACGCCCAGCTTGGCGGATCTCGGCTCGCCTCCATGCGCCTCAGTCCACAAAAATACCAAACTGGCTGTATGCCGGGCTCCGCTAGACGAAAATAAAACTGCGCGGGGTCCGCCACCCTTCGTCGCCTCACCGGCGAGGCACGAAAATAGAGCCAATAGAGTACATAAGAGGCTGTACCATTATTCTTTTCTTTTTTCTTTTTCTTTTTTAGGGGGGCATTTTTAAAGTCACCTTTTTGACACTTATTTTGTTCATTAAATGTGCATATTTTACCCCCATTGTGAGGGTAATGAGAAGACTATATATTTTTTAGTCTGGAGACCTTTTCATATGGATTTCTTGACCCCAGAAATGTACACTTTGACACTAATATTAATATTATAGCTCTCACAGAAGCGAAAATATGGGGTCTGGTGTAATAGTGGTGTATTGTCGGCGGCCATTTTTAAAATGGCTATTGAAAAAAATTGAAGGGTGATCTAACTTGTCTCTTTGGATAAAATGTTTCCTATGGCCCTAAGGTACTTCCATGCCAAAGGAACAGTAAATCTCAGTTTAGGGGGAGGGGTGGGGGGGTAAGTTACCCTGTCAAAACGTACATTTTTTCATGAAATGTGCATATTTTACCCCCCGTTGTCATGGTAATTAATGATGCATTGGGTTTTTTACATTGAAACCTATTTAATTGAATTCCTAGACCCCAAAAATGTGCACTTTGACACCAATATTATGATTATAGCTCTAACAGAAGCAAAGATACGGGGTCTGGTGTATTGGCGGTTTATTGTCGGCGGCCATTTTTAAAATGGCGATAAAAAAAAATTGAAGGGTGATCTAACTTGTCTCTTTGGATAAAATGTTTTCTATGACCCTAAGGCATACCAAAGGGGACATTTGTAGCATGACTTGAAGTAAAATGTGTCTTAGTGCCCCAACTAAAAGCCTTTTGGTCAATAAAAAGAACCACAACAGACTTGAGACTTCATTCAAGAGAACTAACCACTACCTCTAGTGACCAAGAACTTCCTATAAAGTTGACCTTTGACCCGGCAGGGCCAAAATTTCATGCATTTATTTATATTCTGTGTTAGGAAAAGGTTTAAAAAAACTTTGAGTATTTACTCAAGGTTTTTTGCTCAAGTAATCTCCAATTTTGGTCTTTACTTACAGCATTCAAATCACTTTATTTAATTTTGGCATATCTGAGAAATAACTTTTACAAGGATAAAAAGAAAAAGGAAGCTTCAGCTAAAGTATTTAGATTTTCCCCCAAATCATTCTTAATGTTGTCATTTTCTTCATCTAAATCAAGGGTCAAAGGCACATTGTAATTAATGGTTTCAGGCTATATTAATGAAAATAGCAGCAAATAAAAGGCTTTAATCGAAACCAAGTTAAAAGAGGTCAGAGTCTTAAAATGTGACTTTTCCAGCCATTTAATATCCTGATACTATTTAATTAAATACATCCTTTTGTATTAGAGCATAATGAAAATTTACTAAAGTTTATTTGGCCTAAAAATACATATAAATGGTAGGAATATTGTTTCAGTACTTTTAGCTGTCAAAAGCTTAAGTGGCATCAAAGCTTCTAATAAAATAACGTAATCAAGTCCTGAACAGCTTCTGTGTGTTCACTAAACTAGGATTACTGCTTACAACAAGTATAGATTATATCTGAGGTTGTCAAATCATCAGACTTCATTCTCTTCAAAAACTCTGACTGTAAACATGAAGCTTAGCTGCTGTGTTCACACAGCCCTCAATCTGCTTCATCAATTATCACAGTGATACTGCCAAGCAAGGTGACAGTACACCACTTTTATAATAACAAGCACCATGGGCATTTTAACAAGCGCTTCACAGGGAGTTTCCGCACAGTTTGTCTTTGTCTCCAGTTTGGGTGTGCAGCCATAACAAAGCAGTGTTGCTCACAAGTGGTTGAACTGCCTACACATAGATTAGTAACAAAGATTAGGATAATACTGTGCCGTGCTTTTTTACCAACTGGTGCTCCAAAAGCAGCTGAAACTCCAGCAGCAGCTCCAGCAGACACAAAGTCACGTTTTTCTGTGTCTCTCCGGAAGTATTCAAAGATCTACAAACACACACACACACACACACACACACACACACACACACACACACACACACACACACACACACACACACAGTTGTCACAGCTCTAAATACCACACTGAATACAACATTTAAGGCCTTATCAAGAGCTGCTTTGTATGAAGAAAAAAATCAACCTAAACATTTAAAGCATAAGCAGCAAAAACTAAGTGAAGGTGGTATGTTGGTAACTGACTGACACAAACACAGAGAATAGATGAATACATAATATTAACCTAAAAAACAGACACATACACACAAGGCATGACCTCAGCTCACACACTGACCTTAAAGTCTCTCTTTAAAGAGGTGCTCCTTCCCTGAGACACTCCTGCAGCAACCACAGCACCAGAGTGGATCATGGGACCTTCCTAAAGGGATTGTGGGTAAAAGGGAGAGCAGATGTGACATGGGGTTCTGGAAATGTATTTTTTCAACTCCATCAATACACCTTTTAATGCAACCATTATTATGATCATGAATCATAAACTGCCCAAATCATGATACAATGCAATACAGTATGACACAATACAGTATAATACACAATACAATGTGATAGGATGTAATATGAGCTGATGCAGTACGATACTGTCGGTTACAGCTTAGGACAGTACAGTAAGGTGCAGGGTGTTATACTCAACATCACTGACTGACCATTATTTTGAGGGTTTAAGAAACTCTGTTTATGTTCAGCTGTGGAAGGATACACCTTATAAATCTGTGATTTGTGATGCTTTTCCTTTGCCTTTATTATTCCAAGTGCAAGTGTGGAGACACCTTGTGAGAAGTGTATAAGTGCTGAGAAGGATGGTCCACTAGCTAACTGATGGTGGATGGCAATCTTATATGGGTAAAAATGGACATATGGGTCATTCCATGTCAATTCAACCAAGAATCGCCACTCACGTCACAGATTTTGATGAAATTTGGTGGAGTGATTGGCCTTCAGGAGAAACTGTGAGAGCTCAAATATTTTTGTTCAAAGCCATCTAATTAGTGAGATAGGGGCTAATGAATTTTTGGCTAACTAGCATGACATGCATTACAAAAGTGTTCATATCTCTGGAAGTATGGCACCTAGAGAGCTGATTCAGGTGTCATTTTAAAGCTCTCTTCAAGTTCTATCTTTTTGTTTGTTTAGTTCAAAATGCTTTTTTGAGTTTTTTCATTTGTATGTTATCCCATATTTATATGAAAAATGGCTAGAATAGCTTATTTATGCTCAGTTTTCCATCGCATTTCATTTCTATTTGCACCTATATCCAGAATATGAATGATCTTAGCTTCATGGGAGAATCATTTGGGCATACCTGCATGTCCTGGATCCTAGGGTTGACAAATAACTTCTACCTATGCACCCTGAAATTTTGTTGCGGGTTTCTCTGTGAAGTATTCCAGGCTATTCATCCTGAGCCCTTTCAACGTTTCCTTTATACCTCAAAAGTACTTGGCATGGTGATCAAGCTTTGTGCAGCTTTTCGATATTGTTAGTTTGTCTCCAAATAGGAAAGAGTGTATGAACTTCAAAGAGTTTGATAGCGTCAGTGTAAGGAACGATGGTTCCCCAGTCGTCTAGGTCTTCTGGCTTTCAGTACATGCAAATATTTGAGAAAGAGCATATCAGGAGAGCTACAGTAATTAGCAACCATTCCAAAATATACTAGAACAAGTTGGTCAAGAGGAGAGCAAAGGAGCCATGTAAGGACTGTAAAATAATTTCTCTTGAGTAGTGAATAATGGTGCTCTGTTGCCCTGAGTCTCAATTTCTTGATGCACTTTGGAGCAGAGGCAAATCGGGTAAGCTAAGAATGAGCTGGCACTTAAGCTACCATATTACTGTATCAAGGAAATTGACCAAGAGTGAATAATAAAATCTGGATTCCCGCGAGCAAGTATTGGATGATACCATACTCAAGAGAAATTATTTTAATAAAATTATTAACAAAAGTACTTCAAAAGTGTGCAGGGTGCATAGGCAGAAGTTATTTGTCAACCCTAGGATCCAGGACATGCAGGTATGCCCAAATGATTCTCCCATGAAGCTAAGATCATTCGTATTCTGGATATAGGTGCAAATAGAAATGAAATGTGATGGAAAACTGAGCAAAAATAAGCTATTCTAGCCATTTTTCATATAAATATGGGATAACATACAAATGAAAAAACTCAAAAAAAGCATTTTGCACTATGAAGAAGTAATATTTTACACAAGCAGGCAAGCTGGGCTGATTCCAGATGAGGTCAGGACTGTATAATGTGCTAAATATGGCGATTTTCCACCTAACGTACCACGCATTTTGACTGATTACTCAAAAAGTTATGGAATGCCCATCCTGAAACTTGCAGGGATGCTAGTGGACATGAAAGTCTTTCTTAAGTGTGAATATGAAGAAAATTGAAGGACGCGCGTTTTTTGCTATTTCCAATTTAAGTTTTTGGTCTTTTTTTTTTCTGGTCTAATTTGGGAAAAACTGTTATGAACAAAAAGATAGAACTTGAAGAGAGCTTTAAAATGACGCTTGAATCAGCTCTCTAGGTGCCATACTTCCAGAGATATGAACACTTTTGTAACGCTAGTTAGCCAAAAATTCATTAGCCCCTATCTCACTAATTAGATGGTTTTGAACAAAAATATTTGAGCTCTGACAGTCTCTCCTGAAGGCCAATCACTCCACCAAATTTCATCAAAATCTGTGACGTGAGTGGCAATTCTTGGTTGAATTGACATGGAATGACCCGTATGCTAAAATAGCATTAAGGGGAATGCTGGTGGTACATCCTCATTTGCAAAATATAAACCCACTGCCACCAAGTCTGGACACCACTCAGCTTCAGATCTAAGACATAATGATGCTGAACATAATCACTCACAAGCAGGTAACAACCTGAAATACATTTGTTATCCCACAGATTCAAATCTTCACTTAACCAGATTATCACCTCAAAATTATCGTGACCATAAAAAATCACAGTAATATGAACCCGGTATTTTTATAGAATTTGAAAAGAAAAAACACAATCTGTCAAACTGAGGAAAGGCAAAACAAAGATGGAGCAACACATTACTTCATAAACGTAATAAACACAGTGACCTTACATGCCATCAACTATTTCCAATAATATTCTAATCTATGATTTGTCATCAGCCCTTTGACCCAAACTTCTTTAGAGAGGACGATGCCTCATTCAATGATTTTTTTGTCATGCTTTTATATTGATATTTATTCTCTTGTCTTTAGGTTGCTTAATTTCTTGCATTGCCAAATGATGCTTTTATTTGGAAGTTTACAACTTTACGTAGAGCAGAACCTATGGACCTAGATGAAAAAAGTCAAAAGAAAGGTGAGAAAGTATTCATATTAAATTGATGAGTAAACCGAAGAGCCACAAGCATTAGTTTCTTTTAAAGACAGACTGTAAATATAATTCAGCATGTGATTTATATCTGTCACAAACCACCCAGTTTATCAAATTGTTGCACTGCACCACCAGTAAGATTAAACATCTAAAATGGAAAACCAAATTTAAAAACCACAAGTGAAGTTTCTACCAAACATCAGATGAAAATGACGATCCCACATTAAAGGCTGTACTCAGAGTCTCCCTTTTCGCTCAATAAACTGTTACCTCCTTGTTTTGAAATGTGTTGTTTCACAGGTATCACAGTTCATGTCAGACACCTCTGGAAAGTTTAAAGCCCAGAATTCCAGAAGAACCACATCTCTAGTTCCTGCTTCTGAATCAGCATCAAATGCTTACCTTTCCAACTGCAAGACCACCAACCACTGAGCAGATAACCCCGAACACTTTCACCACCAGTGTCTGGGGAAGACAGACAGGACATGTAACAGATATTGGTGCTCAAAAGAAGTACTGAGTAGTGTGCTAGTGGGAGTGCATGTGTTTTACCTTAAGCCGAACGACCCGAGGAACCTTGACCCCATTTAGGTAACATTTAATCTGAGGAATACCACTTCCTGCTGCTATAGGCTGAAAGAAGTGGGCGAGAAAAGAGAGTTATAACATATAAAGACCTATGGCGATAGTTGCAACAGGACAAGTATGTGAGGACACGACAAAACCGGTGTCATGATCACTCACATAAACATCTGTGACATGATGTGGTGTGGAGAGCTGACAAAGCAGACTGTCTGACTCAGACTCAATACAACAATCTAGTTACAAGAAATCATCCAATCTTTCGTTTTCAACTCTGCAAATGTTTGATGTTTCACCATTTTGGAGGGACCCAGTAAGTTCTCACTTCCATTTGTATTTCAATGACCTGCAGTTCAAACTGAGTGGGAAGCTTGTGTGAAACTTAACTCAAGCTTGAGGGAGAAAGAGAGGAAGAGAACTAAAATAGGGATATGAGTTTTGTTTCTAGAGGTTAACATTTAAACCAAACAGTCACGTTTTCCTCCTTTGGTCTTACCTCAAAAAATGCTACAATGATAGATCCAATCATCACAATGGCAGAGTTGAGGACGGCCCAGAGGATGAGAGAGATGGAGAGGCCACCCACTTCTGTGAAGTTCTCTATGTCTGTGAGGGGTCAGAGGTCAAGGAAATATGCTGTGGCACTTCACAAGCATTAATGAAAGACAGATTAACAAATCAACCACCACAGGTATGACAGTTATGGATCAAAAGGTGAATCCTCTTTGATAAAATTCACAAACTACATTATTAAAAGACAAACTGAACTATTTAACCACGTATTGGACAAAGCAGGTTTTAGGTTGGGTTAAAGGTTCACATTTTCTTCAGGATCTAACCCTGTAAACTGCTACATAAGCTTAAACTAAATACATCGAATAGAAAAAAAAGCACAATATGAAAAAAGGCTGGAAGGTTGTTTGGAGGTGGTAGTTTTTGGATCAATTCAGCAGAGTTTTCAATTAATTATTGATGTCTGACAGTTAATATTTCCAAAGATTGATTACAGACACAAAGTTTCCTTTGAATTTGCATCCTAGTATGATCATGGACTAACAGCGCAGGACCTTTTGGATGTGCAGAAAACACATTTTATACATTGACATCAGATTGTGACTGATTCTGTTGGCATGTCTGGAGATTTCAATGAAGTTGCAGGGATGTGTGTTGTGCATATGCACACTGTGCCTTGCTAAGTAGGAAGATACATTCGTTACAAAAAATTAATTCTGCTGCAGTGTGATCACTGCAGATATTGAACTAATGCAAACCCACCCGCTATGATCAGACTTAGAACTGACCTCACATCCTGGATGGTTACAGTTTGTTAGCAGCTTGCTAAGTGTAGCTTGTTCAGGAGCTTAAGCATCTCTCTGTAACCTGGGCAGATGTCTTCTGAAGTTGGAGTTCATAGACATCTACTTCTCATTGATTTGTTTACATATCCAGCATGTTACACTACTCCTGTTTTGCACTTGCTGTAAAATCTTTGAAAGCTATGCATATAAGGAGACGGCATATGAGTAGGCATGAAGATGAACACATGAGCCAGTCCTCACTTCGAACTGAGTAAATACCAGAGCCTTGGAGAAAAAAAATTAACTAAATTAAATAAAAATAAAAAGTAATTTTTCAGTAATAGGTCTGAGTCCACCTCTCTGTCTTAGGTCTGGCTCAAGACAGAGACCTGGACTGAGCACTACAACACTGCCATTTGTCAAAGCTGGCTAGTGTTTAGCACAAAACCCAAGGATACTCTGTTTGACCACTTGGTATTTGAACCCTGCCAGTTCCTCTACTGCGATGTCTATGAAACAAGCAATAAGTCCAGTGAGGAAGCCAATCAGACCACAGACAACCCAGCGGCTAATTTCTAGACAACGAAAACCCTAAAAACACGAAAGAGAAAGAAGAAGACAGGAGATACAGGAGAGACAAGGGGTTCAATACTATATACAGCATACAATCTGGAATAAGTATTAGTCCAGGTATTCCTTTATCTTCATACCATGTGACTCATCCTCCTCTCCTCCTCTAGAAAAAGCTGGTTCTCGATGTTATCATAGTCCAGACTCTGGAGAGACACAGGAGACACTTAACCCAAATAATTTGTCAATCATACTGTGTAGTTACTGTATGTGTGAATGCCTTGTAGTTGACACATACTAAAAAAAAAACAGAGTTTGCATTGTGTACTGTGCATAGCTTTTTGGAACAATGCCAACAGTTTCACAAAAAAAAAATAGAACACAAAGCTGATTTTATCAAATGTTGCAAGTTTTAAAACTGATTACTGCATTGTTTGTTTCTAAGAAATGCTGTTTGGTCTTAATGAACTACAATGAATTGTCTGTATCTTTGTGTTATTTTTGTATTATTTATGTTTATTTAGAAAGTACCAAACTAAATATTACTACATGAAATCCTTTTTCTCATGCATCATACGCATATCTGGAATCTGTTTGAGTAGTACATTTTTACCTCATATTTTAGTGACAGTAGCTTCTCATTATGAGGGATCTCTTTTGGCCGCCCTCTCAGAGAGTCCTGCAAAAAAAATCGCAGAAAGAGCAGGGGTCACCACACCAGCACTGAGCCACATGACCTCTAACCTTTTGATTCATGCGAGGAACTAATCAGGTGGGATTTTTTTCCAGTTAAATCAGCAGAGATCACAGTATTCCACACTACATGTTTATAACATAGTTTAATGCCTTTAGAAGGAAAAACTGGAAAAATTGGACAGGTGAGATTTTTTGTTAGTGATGGATCAGTCATCTGAGTCATCTCAGAGATCAGTTTAGAAGGATGGAAGATGCAGTGACTCTAAAAACATACCAGTGTTTCCTCCAGAATGTAAAGCGCAAAATAACCACAGCTAGGACATTCTCCTTGGCATTTTTCATAAAGGAAACACTGGTACAGAACAGTAAATTCTGACATGCACACAAGCCAGCTACATGCAAGTCAAAAGTGCTCCAACAAAGCCTCTGCTACACAACTGAGCCAGCCACACAAGATAAGCCAATGAAAGCGATAACATGTGAAAGCCTACTGACCAAAACATGATTAAAACATGTTTAAGGCCATAAACAATCACACTAATCACATGCACAGCATCACATTTGCATCAGCCAGTGATGATAAAACTGGATCAGGTTGTTTCTGTCACAGAGGAGGAGGCCTCATGTTCATGTTCATGGTTTTATAACTGACACAAGGCAAAGGTTTCTTCCCTGTTTTGGTTTTAAGCTGCATCTAAAGCCCTGACTTTACATAAATTATTTATGTTTATTGTGGCATTTATGGGACTTTTTGTTTGCTTGTTTGATGTTCCTATCACTGTGCTGAAAGCTTTACAAATCTATGTGATTAAACTTCATTTAGAAATACATAAATTTCAGTCTCAATCAATGATTTTGAGTCTGTCTCCATACCTGCTGTACAGTTAAAAAAGGATGTAAATGTTTTCCTTCAAAACAAATGTTTCTTGTCACGGTAGACAGTATATTCATTTCCTTCTGACTTCTGATTTTAAAAATAACTACATGACCCAGAATTAGCTTGTGCATGCCCAAGCAGCTGTTTTTAGAAAAACCTGGTGGTGCATAAGTTTCACCCTGAATCAATCTTTGACTTCCCCATTTCTCTGGGATCAAGCCCTGCTGTTTGTGGGAAGAGTTGTGAGTAAAAGATTCTGCTTAAGCAGAGTGTACACTCTACCCTATAAAACCTACTCAGATTTCTGTACATTTCTGTACAGAAATGTATAAAAAGAAATGTATATAAATGCTATGAAGAATCTGTCGTTATAAGCTATTTTTCTCCCCCATCAGTGTCCATTGAATTACATCAGTTTTTAGTTGCAAACACTAAATGGCTGAGCAGTCAAGGCTGAGCACATCATCCATTCATTATTTGCAATGTCACACAGAGGAGGCCAGCAGAGGATTTCCAAACATGTGCCTTTTATGCACACTGCATGACTCGGCTGTCTCTGTGCCAAATGGGCAATCAGCAGCTCTCTACTGTATCTGACATCCTTTTTTTTTTCGATTGAGATTGTGTAATGTCAAGTGATGTCTGAATACTAAAGATTTCTCAAGTGCCATCCCACCCATCTTGCCATGAGTATACACCGCTGTAAATGCCCGCTACATGTTGCTTAGTGCTAAAATGTAATCTAAAGCTTTTTCTCGTCCCTTCTCCTTGATTAAGTTGTAGAAAGATGGAGTTTTATTTGATTCTGAATGAACAGACACTTATTAAAAGTCTAAAATAAAGATCTGTATGGAGTGATGATCGAAAGAAACGACAGACAGAGAGAATTGGTGACTTTTGTTTAGGCTCAAACTTTACCTCCTCTGATGTCATCTCCTCCTCCAAATCCACCGTGCTCAGTCTGCCTATATGAAATATATTCCCTCCTCCAGACAGCTACAGACACCACAGACACCAACAGAAATATATGTACAAATTTTGCTGTGTGTAGCTTATGTTTTGACATCACACAGATGGTTGTGTCCAGCGGAACTGAATCAGAGTAATGACGTACATGGAGTATGAAAGGCACCAATATGATAGATGCAAGAATTCTGCTGAATCTAATAATAAAATATAACTAAAGGTTGAACGTCCACAAACCTTAACTACAATTTCTGAGACTCTTCCTCTTTAGTTTACTGAAGCTTCTGCGAGAAACTTTAAAGTGTTGTTCACTTATGGCATCCCAATCATGGTACATTTGATCTCTTTGCTGATCCTCTATCTGTGTTGTTACATTTTGAAATGAAAAATCTCATCCTGCTTTCTTTACAGTCAAATTTCTCTCTCAGTGTGAAATGTTTTGTTTCTGCAGTCTGCTATAACACACTCCATATTCATTTCAATTTGTTTCTTAGTCAGTTGCAAACTCATTGGATATTTAAAGAATCAAATGCAAACAGGTCACTTTTATTGGTCCTGGTGAGACAGGAAGTCTGCGGGAAAAACGAAGCTCCATTTTCTACTGTTGGCTACAGTCCTGACTACTTTCAGTCAAGAGACAGCATCTATCATTGCTCATCATCTCATTGTCAGTTTAGCATTATAATTCTCTTTCAAACTTGTGTCTGCAGCTCCATGGTATTTGGTTAAAAAGTGTACATTGTTGTATACATTTACATCCTAAGCCTGAACTTGAGTGACTTTAAATAGTCGTTGTGTCCTGACTAATTGTTTCCAGTACTGATGAAGCTGACTACTAGCTGACTACTGCTTCTTTCTGTGACCTATTTACTGGTCCCACTAACAAAGTAAGTACATCATGCTGGTATTTGTATGAACGTTAGTGTAATCAAAGTCCAGCTGCCAGACTCCGTCTCATACAAAAGCCCTTTGATGAAGAACACACACCAAAACACTTGAAGTACATAAAATGATACATAAAAAAAGACTTTCAATGTGACAATGCATTCAAAGTCATTCTCGGCATACTTGATTCTTTCATGCCATTTTACACGTCAGATATTTGATATAACATATAACATGATGTTTCTCAGTGTTTGTGTAACGGCTCTCTCAGGCTAACTTTAGCTAAGACGCTAGCTGTACCTGTCTGGACAGTCTCGGCTCTGCGCCGTTCAGCAGCGGTGTCCCCTCCCCCGGAGCCCCCGACTCGTCGGCCCGGCTGGACCACGATACTTTCTTTGTGATGTTTGCCATGGTTGGCTCCAGTCGCTCGCCCCGTCTGGTGCTAATTTACTTCATCAAACGCAGTCGTTTGCTAGCCAAATGCTGTTATTCCTCAACTCCCCATGATCATCCCTGTAACTCGTGACGTTTAGTAAGGGTCGTGTGCAGGGCCAAAACAAAACCCCAACCTCTTTGTCGCGTTGCATGATGGGACATGTAGTTAGATACTTATCATGCAAAACACCTCACTGATGATAAATAAATCTTTTTTATATACATTAAAATGCTATGTATCTGAAAAACAATTGTTGTTCATTATACAAATGTCTTTGTGAAATACGATAGAAGAAGAAGAAACGGTGCCTCTTGAACCAGGCCACGTGCTATAGTGGAGCGAGAATATGAGATAATAGTGCAAATGGTGATACAAGCATGAAATTTGGTACAGAGATCCTTTATACCACTACTAATCATAATATAACCTCTGACCACCTGGGCGGCGCCATTTTTCAAGATGGCCGCCAGCTTTTAGAAATAGCTGCCACCAGGTCAACGTTTTAGACTCTATCACTCTGCTCCAGCTATAAATCATACATTTACCCTACCTTTGAAATAATATAATATGTTTTAGGTATTTATACCAATTAAAAACAATATATTAGGTTCCAATATGGCGGCCTAGTCACACTCTAAATTGCTGATTTTTGAAAGGATGATCAAAATGGTGATACAACCATATAATTTGGTACATATGACCTTTATATGACCATATTTTAGAATCCACCTTTGGCTAAGCAGATTTCAACCATTTTAAAAGATGGCCGCCCAGAAATAGAAATGGGAAGAATTCGGTATTTTGTTGGTCATTATCAGGGCTCTCAAGTCTCACGCATTCAGCGTGTCACATACGCATTCCCACCTGTTCACACGCTCACACGCCACACATTGTATTTCTCACGCATTTAAATGAACATGGTGATGCCCACCAAGTTGCACCTCTTTAACTATGGAACAGGTAGGAATCAACTGAGTTACTCCGAGAGTTCAGAAGCTGCGTGCCACGCGCAAGCCAATCAAATAAAGTATATCTACTGAACAGCCAATAAAAAAGCAGCATTGCTGTATCTGGGTAGATTTTGATATCTTACGGTTTGACTACAGAAGAAGACAGACACTCGCCGTAATAGAGCATGTTTTTATAAGGACGAGATAGACCCGATGATTACAGTAAGTCAGTAACCTACACATGCAGAGACCTCAACACCTCATGGCATATAAACTCATATGATAAACTAAAGCCCTATGCTATTGCTATTAACAGCTGTATTGACGGATTTATCTCTGTACAGCCATTTCCAGCCATTTTCCCCTCCACAAAAGCAGCATTTCTCATATATCTCAAATATAAGTTCTGATACTCATGACAGTGTAATGCTCATGTACCAAAGGATTAAGTATCTCCATGTTTGTGAAACCTATACTAAAGTACAATTCATCTAAATGCTCCACAGTGCTGATTTTAACAACTCTCCTTCACAACAGGTAACTTTACGACTTAATACTGATATTAATTTTTTTTCTAATTGTGCCCCTTATATTCCGTTGTATTTAAGAGATAATTATACTAATAATTATCTTCAACACCCCCCCTGTTTTAAAAATGGCCACACCATATACATGACAAATCAATAATATATTGTGTAGTGTCATTACACTACCAGGGCACACTGGTTGACACTATAGCTGTGAGACTCAGCATGGGGTTCAATGCTAGCTAGTAAATTTGTCTAAATAAATTGTCTAGTTTCCTAAATGCTATTTAGCTTGCCCCAAGTTAAAGTTAAACAGCCGCACCTGAATTGACAGGATGTGCCAGCGTGGGAGAGCCGAGCCAAGGAAGATGGGGCTTTAGTCTTCTGGAAGGTGTACAGATCACACAGGAATTAAATAGCATTGGATGAATGATCGGGCTGGGGGTAGGGTAGTGATCTTGTTATTATCTGAGCCCAGTTGTATCCCATACTTTAAAGTGTAGAGTAGTATAGTAAGTTGTCTTTAATAGGTGGTATATAAGGATAATCCCTCGGCCTAGACAACAGCAATGGACACACAGACAGAAATACACTCCACACCTTCATCACAGGCAGATAGTAGGCCTGTATCTAGTCCAACCAATTGGGAATTATGCTGTTTGTGCCAACAAAACATCAGTGAAAGGTTAACTAATGCCACAGGCAGTGGTTATCTGACATTGGCTAACAATATTCCCGAATTTCACAAAATGAACTGCATGCCAATTCTTTTTGACCCAAAGCAACTTGATGATGGTGATGGAATTTAAAAGCACAAAAAAACAAACAAAAACAAACAAACACATACAAACAAAAAAACTACCCACCAAGGGCCCAGTCAGTACCCACATGGACAGCCCAAGTGGGAACCAAGTGTATCCCACGAACTTCCCATGTAGGAAGCCCACCTTGAAACATATGTGGGTCCTACCTGGGCGTGCTGGTCTGGGTAATGGTACCTATGGCACTAAAATGCAAACAAATCACTTTAAATGTGTCATCATAAATTGATTCTATCTATGGAAATAAATACAACTATGTGCTGCATGCTCTTATGGCTTAACCGTGAACTGCAGTATATTTCTGCTATTTATCGGCAGCCATATTGGAAATTTGCCACCATATTGGAACCTAATATCTTATGTTTAATTGGAATAAATACCTAAAACATTAAAAATAAATTAAAATGAAGGTATGTGTAAGTTTTATAGCTGCAGCAAAGTGATACAGTCCAAAACGTTGACCTGGTGACAGCCATTTCTAAAAGCTCGCGGGCATCATGAAAAATGGCGCCGCCCAGGTGGCCAGAGGTTATATTATGATTAGTAGTGGTATTAAGGATATCTGTACCAAATTTCATGCTTGTATCACCATTTGCACTATCACCTCAAAAATCAGCATATTCCCGCTAGACTACTACGGCTAGAAAGAGTTCTGAAATAAAATACTGAAAGCAAAAAGTGTAAAAGCTATTCGTTGATAGTTACGAGTAAAAATGGCTGAAAATGCAACAAGCAATATTTTCTCGAGAATTTTCTTGGAATATGTTGTTGACTTTTGTGTGATTCTGTTTGATAAATTTGGCTTGAAATATCTTGAATGAGATTTATATTTGGTATGTAATGAAAATGAAGCTTAGGCTACTGTGTGGACACAGCTTTTATGTTTCTGCCAACTTTTTTTTAATGTGACACTGATGCTGCATAAAACAGGACAGGAATTAAAACCTAAAATATCTTAGAAAAAGTGAAAAATTTCAAAAGTTCTCTAAAGGTAATCTTAAAGTAAAAAAGCAACTCCATTACAGAAACGTAAATAAATGTAATTACATACTTTTTAAGCCTGCCACTTGCAAAACTCAACTTAAATATGCTTGTTTGCTTTCTGGACCCTCTTAAAATCATGTGGATGCACCAAAAAGATCAATTAGGGCACACACGAATAATATGACAGTGTTGGTTTATTCAGGAAATATTTAAAATAAAAAGAAATTGAAAATTGCTCAATGACATTGTAAAATGTTATTAAATATCATTTTTAGGAGGGCCTTGTCTCTCCTACTCAGTGTAGGGGAGACTGGATATGGTTGTAACATCTTATGCTTCAGTGCCAGAAACTCAGTGAGTTTTTGTTCTCACATGTTTGTTCCAGGTATCCACGTTTTTCTACAGTAAATGGAAGTAATTAAGACCCTGCGCATTCACTATGTGTGATTATGTCAATTACCTGGTGTCCCATTTTGTGGTATGTGGTAACACATGTTGGTATAAGATGTAAGAATGAGACTGACATTTAAATCAGCCCTCACAAGTTTTGTTCATGTTTTTTTTTTTTTTTTTTACAAACAATGCTCTAAACATTCACATGACACCTGTTGCACCCCTCCATGTAGCTCCTGTATGTCCTCCATGCTGAGCACCACCCCCCTGGGCACACCTCTACCTCCTCCTACACCCTCCACTTCTGCAGGACTCAACACCCGATTCCACATCCTGAATCCCGCCACCTGCCCAGCAAAACCCTCTGTAGGGTCAAACCCTCCACCAACAGTGTCCTGTTCCTGCCCCAGCACCACCGATCCACCTCCAGGAACCTCCCAGCCTTTCCTGAAGTTGGACCCTGAGGAGGCAAGGCGCCGGTCAGTGTAATGCCAAAAACGACCCTGTATTGAGGACCAGAGGATGCAGAGGTGGTGCCAGTGTGCATCTAAGAGCGACCATGCAGGGAGACGTCGATAGACAGGGTCTCCAATGACAAAATCCAGGGAGTAAGAGGAAGAGGAGGATAGATAGGAAGATGGGGGTGAGGAGAAAGATGTAAGGGAAGCAGGGGAGCTGCGCCCATATAAGACTAACTGGTTATCATTATCATCTGTGGCATAAGATAGCAGTGTCCCAATATGCTGAGCCTCCACACGGAGCCATAAACACACAGAGAGTTCATGGAGGTCAGGAGGAGTCAGGGAGAAGGTGACGTAGTTTTCTGCTGAGGCCACAGGAAAGAACAACATGGAGTCAACGTTGCAAACTGCAAGCAGAGGGAGAGAGAGTTTGCTTATGTTTTTGTAAAACCCTGATCCTTAGAAGTCAGATCACATCACTTAATCTCATCCTTTTGAAAAACGTAATGTTCTTTAAACACAATGAACACTCTCAGTAAATAAAGCTTAAGATTGGATTCACTACCTATAAGACATGGTGCCACATTTAAACTGGCAAAACTAGATTATTTGCACAGCAAAAGCCCAAATCTTAGACAGCTTTCAGCGGGATTTCTTTAATTTTTTACAGGCAGGTAGTGTCTTATTTTTTGGCATGTGATATCTTAAAATAAGCTATTTCCTCTGGACTTGGTGGGTGAATGTTTGCTTCAATTAACCCTGAAAGCCTTTTGCAGTGCATCTGGTATTTGCTGGAAAATATCTCCTCCAAATGCTCCAGTCACTCAAATTTGGATAATTTAAAACCCTAATTTAACTATGATGGGTGAGTTGCATAAAAATGTACTTTTATTAAGGCTCCTGTGAGGAACTCCAAGTTTATGTCAATTCTGGCGCCCCTGTTGCCCTTTTTGTCATCTACATGTTTAAGTACTATCTTTTGACACAAATATCTCATCCTGCTGAGTTTTGACAGCCAAATGTAACATTTGTTGCAAGTATGTCCTGTGTAAATGAGAAAAACAGGGCTGTTTTTTTCAGCTGCTAAGCTGACTCCTACCCCCTCACACTGTTTTTAGAAATTCAAAAGTACAGTTTAAAGAAAAGGCCTCAGTGTGAATTTTAATCTATTTCATCAATGTGAAAAAGCTCCTCATAGGAGCTTCAAGTCATCAATAAGAGAGCAGTAAGCTTTGATGACCAAGAGTCTATGAGTGACATGTCCACAACATGTTTCGCCTGGCTGTTTTGATATGGAGCCTCCAGGGGACTGACTCCCTCCTTGAGTATCTACACCTGGACACCTGACTATATTTTTGTGCAGATTTACAGCCCTTCATTGAAGTTGCTGCTCAGTGTCTATTAGTCAATGAAAAAGTTGCCCAAGTTTTTACTTACTGGTTGCATCCTTTTTTGGAAATGGCCACGCAGGGATCTTCTGCCTGACAGGTAGCTGGAGCTGGCTGGGAAGCACTGATGGCTCCACTTTTGTGTCATTTTCTTGCTCCTCTTCTCCAAACCACCTATTCATCATGGGTGTAGAGGATCTAGACCAAGGCTGAGGGGGGACTTCTGGAGGTTGCAGATGCTGTGCTCCAAGACTGGTTCTGTTCATTTTGTCATCTTTGGGCTTTGGACTAGTTTCTCTCTGGGGTGATGGCTGGAACCATGAGTGATGTCCATAATGATGTAGCTGAAGATGGGATCGTTGTTGATTTGGGGGCTGGATCTGGGTATGGAGACGTGGTACAGTCTGGCGAGGTTTTAGCTGCTCCTTCGTAACAGGGTACGACCTAGTCTGGGCCTGGACTTGGATTTGTGATTGGGAATTATAAGGCTCAAGATGAGGATGGTGATCAGAGGACTCAGTTCCAGGATTTGGATACTGGATTTGTATTTGTGGATGAGATTCAGTCTGAGGTCTTGGCTTCAGGGCCTTTGGATGTTTAGGCTGCTGTGGTGTTCCCTGGTACTTGTTGGACTGTTGAGGGTTTCTATTCGCAGCTGAATTATGATCGATCTGAGAACTGGGGATACCTCCAGGTGCTGACTGGATTTGTTCATTCAGAATCTTTTCCAGCCTCCCTCCTCTGAATGTCTGGCTCCTCCTTTGTGGTTCAAAGTACTTCTGATGTTCTCCCAGGACCTCCCCGAGCTGACCCTCCAGCCGTGCCACACGTAGCACCTGGTTTTTCAGGGATTCCTGCAACCCTCTCAGTCCAACGAGCAGCTCATCCCGCTGGTCCTGGAGTGCAGCCAGTCTTTCTTCTTGACTCTGGAGCTCCAGGGTGAGGTTGGAGAAGTCCTGACCTGGATCAGTTTTCTGTTTCTGGGCATAGCGGCGGCTCTCCCTCAGGTTTCTCTCCATCAAAGCTAGACGACCCTCCATTCGCTTAGTCTTTTTCTCTAGTTTTCTGCTCCACTCTCTGGAATGAGGTAAACATGAGAAAACACACGATCACAGTGGTACAAGTGAGAAAAGCTAATTATTTAATGAGTAAAAGACAAAGATGTTTACTATCATGGATACTTAGGGTAGAAAAAATGCCTGCAGCACTCTGTTATTGATATTTTTGAGTTTGGCAGTGAGTTAACGTCAATTCTCTCATCTTCTACCCTGATTTATGGAATAATTGTTTTACCTGTATCCTCCTGTCTGCTCCCCTCTGTTTCTTATTTATGATGCTTTTACCTGCCAGAAAACAGCCACTAGGGACAGACCAATCCAGCTTAAGTCCGTGCACACATTTATGTCTCTAACCTGAGCCCTCCTATCTCATGCTTTGTGCTCTGCTGGAGGTCTTTGAGGTCCTGGGATGTCTGCTGCCAGTGGTCATTCAAGGCTTGAACACGGCTCTCCAGCCCCCCTGATGAGTTTCTTCTGTTCTGGTTCAGGGCCAACATATCTAAACGGGCCTGGGTCAATGCCTGGAATTGTTGAAACTAGAAGAAAGGTGTTTATTACAGACACACATCTGAAAGTCTTAAACAGTCCTGCATTTAAGTTTTCCTCATATTCAGAAGTTATTGGTTAGTTTGTTTATATCTGTTTTTAGGTAACTATTCTGTTTTAAAACTTTTAAATAAAGATTGCTGAAAAGAAAAGGAAAAAGAAAAGAAGAAAAAAAGGTTGCTGTCTACGTTCTTTGTGAAACAAAAATCAACTTCAAGCCAGTGTCAAAGTACTTTTAACCAAAATATGACATTTATACCATCTTGCCAAATCAGAGCAGTTTATCAATAGTTAAAGTTTTTGCTTCTTCTTTGTACCCCTTCTTATTTTCTTAAAGTTAGATCGTGTCAGATGGATCCACCCCAGTGAAAAACAGAGGTTGACCCTAATATGTTGTGTTAATACATACGTAAGGCAAAGTATGAAACAAAATACGACATGCTTAAGATAGCCTACTCTAAAAGGATTCTTTAAAAAAAATAGACTTTGCACCAAATTCCCCATAGATTGTCCATCATTTCACCAAAAGATTTTATATAATTGATTATGTTTTCTTGTTCTGTTGAAATCTTGGTGTTGTTTTTTTTGATAAATTTAAGGTTTTGCTCTGCAGATATTAACAAATATGGAATATTTCCATATCACTGCTGTCACAAATGAACACACATGCAGTACAATAAAAGGTGAGAAAAAAAGATGTAAACTCAGTTATCCAAACATTTGTACATGAGAGTAAACTGTGATAGTAAAAATTGTGTTGGCACAAACTTTTCACAGACAGCAAACCTTTGACAATCTGGGAGAGCTGGAATACAACAATACAAACATAGTCTGATCAAAGCCTACCTGTTCAGTGAGTCGACGTAGTTTCTGGGACACGGGATCTACTCCCTGCACTATGATGGGCAAAATATGCAGTAGAATGATACAGACTAGGATCAGGTACCAAGGGCCTGGCCTGAGGCTGCCCATGGTGCAATGGAGCTGGAGTGGCTACAGCTGTGAGCCTCAGTCCCTGTCTGGATGTCTCGGAGTGTAGGAACAAGAACAAGAGACAAAGACATAACAGGAAGGGCTTGTCTTGATACACATTCAAATACAAAAATGCACACACACACACACACACACACACACACACACACACACACACACACACACACACACACACACACACACACACACACACACACACACACACACACACTTAAAAACACTCCCACAAACTTGGACAAGAGCACTTTTTCCATTTTCCACAACATCATTGGGGACCTTGAAAATGCAGATGGATTTAGCAGGTAGTCAGCTTCCATCTGCCTGTGTTTCCTCTGCACTCACAAGAATACTAAGAAGGAGAAGGGTTTCTAATGATCAGGCAACTTATGAGAAGTGTTTTTCAAACTGTGGCATTGTGGTAACACTTTCATGCACATGTTAACTGATGTGAGAGTGTAAAGGATAAGGCCACTCTCAGCTCATGGTCTCAGTTTTATCCTGTTGCATAGTACCTTGTACTTAAGTAAAGTATCCCCATGGTTTTAAGGTTCAAATATTCACCCAGCCTTTATCTAAATATCAAAGTTGCATATAAGCATGGTTTTTGTGATTTAGAAGCACAGTTTAAATATTATTGTTCTCTGGGGTATTTGTTGAGGGCATAGACTGTCTAAACTATGGACAATTTGGTTCCACCTTCCGCCAGCATATGAATTTGAAGCCAAAAAGCGCTCGGTATTTCCGCATTTTTTTCTCCACTTCCTGAAACCAACATTGCAACATTGTTCGCACTCCACCACTTGGGCAGTAGCATTGTACGTATTCGGCAGGAGAGTCGCTGTGATGACGCTCGGCTCAAAAAGCATTTCCCCCGGGTGAGCTACGCAATCTTCGTACGCCCAGAGGCTGTATCAAGTGTCAATCATAGAAAACATGAACCCCCTTATAACTTTTAAAAATGGAGCTGCACAGAAAAAAAGTGGACTTGAGCACAAACCAGTCTTACTGTAACTACATGTCAACATCCCAAATTGGGGGGAGAAAAATTTGTATTCTGTGTAATAAAGTTTTAAAGTTTGTCCACAGTTCTATAGGGATTGCTGGAGGAGGTGGGATTTATGACCTATACTGCAGCCCGTCACCAGGGTGTGCTGTTCACGCGGTGGCTTCACCCAGTGAGGAGGCAGACAGTGTCCATTCTATATACAGTCCATGGTTGAGGGGTTTCCTTCAATAATCTTCAACCTGCTGCTGATTATGAGTAAGTTAGAAAACTTCAAAGATAATCTAAAAATGCTTTGTTCACTATTAGCCTGGAGAAAATTCTGTGCTTGCAGATTGCAGGTTCAATTCCAAAATCAGTATGGGAAACAGTGCCTCTCATTTTGGAGCCCCTTCCTCTGCAGATCTTTGACCAATTTTTATCTTAGTAGACATACAGTAGGTTTTCCTTTATTTCTAGAGTAGCCTAAAACCTTTTCTTTTCAATAAAATCTAATGCTTGCTTAGGCTTGCTTTGAACCAGCCCATTGGTTATACTGCTATAGACCGAGACCTTGGAAGTCTATGTAGGGAAGTTAAAAAAAATCATTGAATAGAGGTGATAGATAAGATAAAGTAAGATTAATTAAGGTAATTTAAAAAATAAAATACCAGGAGATAAAAAAAGAGGATTTAAACTCAACAAGATTCTGAAAATGAAGTACATGAATAAATGGTAAAATTAAATCAGGAAATTTATGGGAAAGAAAATGTGTGTGTGTGTGTGTGTGTGTGTGTGTGTGTGTGTGTGTGTGTGTGTGTGTGTGTGTGTGTGTGTGTGTGTGTGTGTGTGTGTGTGTGTGTGTGTGTGTGTGTGTCATTAAAACAGATTAACAGCTCCTGTGAGGAGCTTTGAGTTTGTGTACTCTGCATGCTGATCCTGTGTCCTCTGTCAAAAATGTCTTTCTGCTGATTTTTATTGTGAAAATTTAATGTGAAAATTTACTTAAGCAGCTCCACTGACAATCACAATATAATAGTCATAAATGTAGTCATTGAGTGATTTTTTTATTTCTTTTGAATATCATGAAAAAGCATTGACACGAATATTAGTTAGTCTATTTCATAAATGTCAAAAAAAATAAAAAAGAAAAGAAAAATTACAGAAGCTTTAAAAACAAGGCCAATGATAGATCCCCAGCTGGCTTCCAAACAAACTGTACTGACTTTGAGACTCTCAGTCTGTATTATCTGTCATTAATTTGAATCCTCTTTCCATGCACCTTAGTCTCTGGCTTGATTCATGTCAGTGATACTTTCCATTTGTTACTCTTTCTTTGCCTCCCTGGGAGCTGATTTTTCACTCTATTACCAAATGCTTTCGCACCGATGAATCAGTGTTTCGTCTCTGTGGATTACATCTGTAAAATAAAAAAAGAATCTGGACCTACTTTATGCAATGTAAAATACTTGGGTGTCTGACAATGACATTGAAGCAGTTAATCTCATGATTAGTGGGCTGATGGAGAAGCAGCCTGTACTTTCCCTCTTCCCCCTGACTCACAGCAGGGGGGGTTTGGCTCTCTCTTCTTCTTCTGCTTTCTCTTCAACCTGCACAATTCAGGAATCTTGCTGAATCCAGTTGCAACACTTTGACCTCATGTCCATTATTATCAGTACAGCAATACTTTGACCAATTTGTGTTTTTGCATTTAAAGTTACTCTGAGTGCATGTAATAGTCAACATGAAAGGACTTTTAAAGAACTGTGATTTGCTTATTCAAAATATTGAATGCATGAAGTTCAGTGTCTCTTCTTCAAGTCCAGTGTAAGCACAGACTTTAGTTTCATTTTCAATATGACTGTCAGTCATACACCACCAGCACTGGAAACTCCACACCGCAGACAGGAAACTCAGACTTATCCCTTGAAGAAGCTCTTTTTTTCTTATATCCCACAACATTTTGCACGTGAACCAGCATGTAATCATTTGTCATCTCGGCCTGTAAAGAAGTGGCAGCTTCGACAAAAGCTTACTGAAAGAGGACAAACATTGACCGCAGCTTTGGCAGCATTTTTGACTTTCAGCTTTTCATGAGGTTAAAAAATTTTTTTTAAAGACACTTCTGTTTTTCTGAGCTGTTTCCTGAGGCTGAGATGGATGAAGAAACCTCACTGCTGGACAGGACACCATCTGAATCCAGGGTTGGAAAATTTCTGCTCATTTTGTTTTTCTTTAGATAAAAACTACAGAGAGATGATGGAAATTAGAAGCTAAGTTGCAGTTAGTTTCATTATGAAATTTCTCTTGTTTATCTGGTTTATAGAACTTCAATGAAAGTTTAAAAAAAAAAATGACTACATGAAATTTAAATGAGTCTATCAGGCATGTGATCTTAACAACTTTATCTGGAAATCAAGCACCAGATGGCTTTAAAGAAATATCTGAGTCACAGAGGTTTTTCTTTGTAAAACTGTTGGTAGAAGATCTAACTTGGTTTAAAAAAAGGCACACTAAAGGACTACAGAAGCAGGGGTGTGTCCACTATTTGTTGCACTTGGGTTGCTAAAGTGGGGCGCAGGGGTGGCATGAAGTATGTATAAATAGTTAAAAAGCAGAGTAAGAAGTTTTCACTAATTTTGAACTAGTCTTACTCATACGTTGATGCCCTTTTCACGACCTCCATGGTAAAGTGAGAATAGTTACTTCTTCGTACTGAATTTTAGTGCCTGTGTATGACATGGTCTTCTGCTGGTGAAGTTTAGTACTCAGGTTTTTTTTTTCTTCTTCTTTTTACATAATGGTTTGTACTAATGACTGGAGCAGGATTAGCAAAGACTTCAGTTTTCTGTTCAATTATTGTTGGAGACAGATAGAGTCTACAACCTGGGCTTCAACATCATGACACCAAGGGTTTGACAGGGAACATTTACACTGTGTGTGATGTGTCTGGTCATTGTTTGTGATCACTGGAGCCAGACTTTTTGACAAGGGAGGCCAAACTGTATCACTCAGTACTTTTCCATGCACAGTTAAGTCAAGCTACAGTTGCAGCACGACTCGGTAATTTCACTAGACCGCTGTCCTTGTCCCAGTTGACAAGCACAGAACAAGAACTGAATCACTGACCTCCTCTGCTATGGTGGGTGGCAGCATGCCCCCTTTCAGCTTGTTACTATTGGGCAATCTTCCAGTTGGCCTTTCATATATCAAAACTAACCTGAACACCTCGTAACATTTGTATGTACAATGTGGGGTCGGTTAGGGCATAAACATCAGGGGCTTACCTTCAACCTAAGAGGGTTACCTTCACTAATCACCTCACCCCTGGCCTCCCCCTTGTTCCACCACTGTTTGTAAGATAACCAACAGTGAACAATCTGAGATTATAAAGCTTCTATGTTCTATGTTACAGTCAATCATTGTACATCTCCACAAATTAATCACTTTACCATTTCACATCCGTCCACCACAGATCAGTAACTCCAAACTGTTCTTGGCTGTCTTCGCGGCTGTCTTGGGAAACTTCAACTTTGGTTACTCTCTGGTCTTCTCGTCCCCTGTCCTACCGAAGCTAAGGAGCCCTGATGCAGACCCCCAACTGAGGATGGGCACAGAAGAGGCTGCTTGGTTTGGCTCCATCTACTCACTGGGTGCAGCTGTTGGGGGGCTGGGGGCTATGCTGCTCAATGACTTGATTGGACGGAAGCTTAGCATCATGATGTCTGCGATCCCTTCAACGATTGGGTGGGTCAGCACACAGTCATAGAAGAGTCATGTACAAAACCCAATTCCACTGAAGTTGGGAAATTGTGATAATCGTAAATAAAAACAGAATACAATGATTTGCAAATCCTTTTCAACCTATATTCAATTGAATACACTACAAAGACAAGATATTTAATGTTCAAACTCATAAACTTTATTATTATTATTATTTTGTTTTTGCAAATAATAATTGACATCGTGACATTGACATTGACATAATTAACTCAGAATTTCATGGCTGCAACACATGACAAAGAAGTTGGGAAAGGTGGCAAAAAATACTCAGAAATTTGAGGAATACTCATCAAACACCTATTTGGGACATCCCACAGGTGAGCAGGCTAATTGGGAACAGGTGGATGCCAAGATTGGGTATAAAAGCAGCTTCCCCAAAAATTCTCAGTCATTCACAAGCAAGGATGGGGCAAAGTTTACCACTTTGTGAACAACTGCGTGAACAAATAATCGAACAGTTTAAGAACAATGTTTCTCAAAGTACAATTGCAAGGAATTTAGGGATTTCAACATCTACGGTCCATAATGTTATCAAAAGGTTCAGAGAATCTGGAGAAATCACTGCACGTAAGCAGCACAGCCGGAAACCAACATTGAATGCCTGTGACCTTCGATCCATTAGGCAGCACTGTATCAAAAACCGACATCAATGTGTAAAGGGTATCACCACATGGGCTCAGGAACACTTCAGAAAACCATTGTCAGTAAATACAGTTTGTCGCTACATCTGTAAGTGCAAGTTAAAACTCTACTATGCAAAAAAAAAGCCATTTATCAACAACATCCAGAAACGCCGCCGGCTTCTCTGGGCCCGAGCTCATCTAAGATGGACTGATGCAAAGTGGAAAAGTGTTCTGTGGTCTGATAAGTCCACATTTCAAATTGTTTTTGGAAATAGTGGACGTTGTGTCCTCCGGGCCAAAGAGGGCAAGAACCATCCAAATTGTTATCCACGCAAAGTTCAAAAGCCAGAATCTGTGATGGTATGGGGGTGCATTAGTGCCCAGCAAGACAATGCCAAGCCACATTCTGCACGTGTTACAACAGCGTGGCTTTGTAGTAAAAGAGTGCGGGTACTCGACTGGCCTGCCTGCAGTCCAGACCTGTCTCCCATTGAAAATGTGTGGCGCATTATGAAGCGTAAAATACGACAACGGAAACCTTGGACTGTTGAACAACTGAAGCTGTACATCAAGCAAAAATGGGAAAGAATTCCTCCTTCAAAGTGTCAACAATTAGTCTCCTTAGTTCCCAAATGTTTAATGAGTGTTGTTAAAAGGAAAGGTGATATAACACAGTGGTAAACATGCCCCTGTCCCAACTACTTTTGCATGTGTTGCAGCCATGAAATTCTGAGTAAATTATTTCCAAAAAAAAAAAAAAGTTTATGAGTTTGAACATTAAATATCTTTTCTTTGTAGTGTATTCAATTAAATATAGGTTGAAAAGGATTTGCAAATCATTGTATTCTGTTTTTATTTATGTTTATCACAATTTTCCAACTTCAATGGAATTGGGTTTTGTACTAAAAACTATCACTGTAGGTGTGAAGCTTTGTTCAAGCAGCAGCAACTTGGGGAGCAATGAGTTTCTATGTCATGTTACTTGTGTTGATTCCATTTATCTCACAGCTATATTATATCTCAACTCAGACATTTATGACAACTTCGATTTCCAATAACTTTGTCTGATAGGAAGGTGCCAGTTTAGCTAAGTGCATTGTGCAGGTGCCTCATGTATACAGGTGACAGTTCTTGTGGCAGTGATCATGGGATCGATTGCTGATTCTCTGCATGATATTGATCACTCACCCTCTTTCTGCTCTTGCATTTGTGTCTCTCTCAAGTTGTCCTTTTTCATAAAGACAAAAGCTCTAAAGTAATAATCTTAAAAAAAAAATACATATACAAATGGACTATCACAGCTGCATGCATGAACTGAAATTATGTGTGTGTGTGCGTGCGTGCGTATGTGCGTGTGTGTGTGTGTGCGTGTGTTCAGATACATGCTGATGGGAGGGGCTGTTGACTTGTGGATGCTCCTGGTGGGTCGTTTCCTCACTGGCATCGCTGGGGGGATGACTGCAGCATCCATCCCTGTGAGCTACCATGGTTACAGATAGTTTTTAAAATCCTATTAAAAACTTTTCCCTTTGTATTTTTACATTTTAGGGCTATGACATAAATATTCACCAAGGTTTTGTGACAGGCATTTAGTATGCCTTCATGTGTTTGTAGTTGTATGTATCTTTATGTGTTTATATTGTAGGTTTATATCTCTGAGATCTCCCACAAAGCAGTGAGAGGAGCTTTGGGCTCTTGTCCTCAGATCACCGCTGTGTTTGGGGCCTTGGCACTCTATGCTCTCAGTGAGTACATACCAATACTGCATCATAAGATACTGCTCAAAGGCATTTATTAGTTAAAATTTTTTTTGCATACACTAACTCCCACCTTAATGTTAGGGTGAGAGTTTCTTCAAACAGGGTAAATAATAATGAAATTGACCTGTCCAGAGCAGATTGCCAAGCTTCCCCACCCAAACTTCAATCCAGTGCAAATAACAATCGATAAATTTCTTATTAAAAACAAGAGAGCACAGAGAGGGACAAAGTCCACAGTCTCCCCTTCTCCCTACCTTGTATTATCTTTATCTTTAATCAAATATGATCTACAGGTCTTGTGGTGCCGTGGCGATGGCTGGCTGTGGCGGGGGAGCTGCCTGCTTTGTTGATGGTTGTGCTGATGGTGTTCATGCCCCGCTCCCCCAGGAGGCTCCTCACCCAGGGCTTGGAGCAGCAGGCTGAGAAAGCCCTCCACTGGCTAAGAGGGAAACACTACGACACACACAGTGAACTCAGAGACATAAAGGTAACACAAAACACACCGAGCACTGTGTCATGAAGTTCAAAGGAAAAATGCTTGCTGTGGTCTAATGTGTATCCTGTAACTTAAGGGGACAAATAAGAGCACCAGTGTCCATACTAAATGTATGCAAAAGTTTCAACTCATGGGGTAACGCATGTTGTCATGACATTAGAAAATAGATGTAAACTGCTCAAAACAGGACCTTGAGAGAAAACATGAGACTCACTAAATTGCCTGTGTCAGCGGTAAAGTCTCTCCTTACCAATTCATCTGAGCTTCAGGCAAAGCAGAAGCTCGTGAGGGAACACCCACAACTGAACGGGGTAACACTGCCCAAACAAAGTGTTTCACATGGAGGCTGAAATAATGAGAGAGAAACTTTTTTTTAATACAGCTTCTACTCCCCACATTTCATGCCTCTCTCCAGCTGTTCTATTATTAAAGGCTAAAAACACCCCAAAACATAACTTTAAAAAAAAAAAACTTATGTATACAAAAAAAATGTACAGATGTGCCTACACCTGTACATATTTATCAGTGCCTATGACTCTGTTCACATGGGGCACCAAAATAAGCACATACTCTACACAAAATTCCTCACAAGAGCTTTAAAGAGATCAGACTAACTCTTTTTGGCCCATGCATGTTCTTTTAACAACTTTTTCTCATTTTTCTGCATTTAAAAAAATTGAGACACTGATGAAGCTAAAAAAATAGGACAAATAAGGTATTAATCAGACTAACACGCCTATTTCATGCATTTTCTGAGAAAATAAGAGCACACACTGGTTCATGTGTTTTTGTGTTTCTCAACATGCAGCACAGCATTAACACTCAGGGGAAGGTCAAATGGTCCAATTTGGCAACACCTGTAATCTACCGACCAGTCATCATTTCAGTGGTGATGCGTTTCCTGCAGCAGATGACGGGCATCACACCAATCTTGGTCTACCTGGAGTTCATTTTTTCCAAAAGCAAAGTCTCTCTGGAGCCAAAGTCAGACACCTGTTCTACTTCTTTGTCTTAATACATATATATGATGATTTTTCTATATAGATGTATTTCTCTTTTTGTGGTATCATTATTTTGACTCTTATTTTGACATTATTTAAAGTTTGGTTGATTTGTTTTCTTTCATGATTTTTTTTTCATTAAATGCACTGTGCATATTTTGTCTGTTAGATATGATGCTGCCATCGTTGGAGCAGTCCGTCTCTTTTCTGTTGCCATCGCAGCCAGTGTAATGGACAAAGCTGGTCGTAAAGCCCTGCTGTATACATCAACTATGCTGATGTTTCTGTCCTCTCTGACTCTGACCATGATCGCCCACACGGCAGACTGCCCCAGCCCTATCAATGTCACTGTCAGCTTGGACTATAGCTCCCATACTGCTGTTGGACACACTCCTGCAGGTCTGCTGCCTCTCATTAGCACCATGGTGTTTATATTTGGTAAGTGTTGGATCAAACCCATTCTTTGTAAACCCCATGCTTTGGCTGACTATCTATGCTTTTTTAGCCTTGTTTCCAGTGAGGCTTATTTGGTAGTAATTGGTCTCACTAAAATATTTCCTTATATTTGAAATGTCAGGATACTGACAACAATTAGCTGCAAGCAGGAGTGTGGCCAGAGGGGCGGCTATATGGCCCTCCCTCAAATTCCGATTCAAGGTACCCTCAAAGTCTTGAGCAAGTGTCCTCTCTGATTTGTCAGAGGTAGGACTTATATTTAAATTATATATGCAGGCTATTTTGCAACATACTGCTGTATTATTGTCTTAGCATTTGAATTGAACACTTTTTTATTTAAGATTTGCAAATTTTTGGTACCAACATTTTGCTGATAAGTAGATTTTTTTAACAACGTGCAAATGTATAGCAGTTAAGTTAAACACAATTGGTGTAAATAAAAAGGGCAAATAAATATTATTCATGTCTGTGTGTACATAAACACTTCATGCTTCTCCTGCATGAGTCACAGCCCCAGTGAGGCCACCCAAGTCAAAAAAATCTTAACACACCCCTGGCTGCAACGTCATATTGGACTGTAGTAAACTCATAATCCCCCCCTACCTGAGTGATGTGGATGTCTTCTGGTGAGTGTGTTTATGAGATGTGCTGTGTACTCATAATTCCTCACAGTGAAGAAAATATGTCAGTTTTGGGGCGATTCCAAGAATTAGCATAAAAGGGCCACACTTCTTTGAAATCACAAAATAGTTTGATAAAAGGTCAAATTTTATTTTGAGTTAGAATAACTGAAATGGCTTAAAACTTACTTGACCTTTGATTTTTGATTCCACTTCTTCATTTCTCACCTTCCCTTCCTCCTCCTTCTTCTGTCCTAGAACCCTCCCTTTTCTTTCCCTGTCTTACTTGAACTTTCCCCTCCTGACTATTCCTGCCCTAACTTTGCACAAGACCCTTCAGAGTGACACAAGATCTCTTCACTTTTTATTAGGTCTTGCTGCCTCTAATAGGCTTCTAATTCCCACAACCACAACCATACTTTATCATATACTTGATGAAAGCAAGGTTAGTGACAAACGTGAACATTCTACTTGCCAATAGATTCCTTACCAAAAAGAAGTATACATCAAGTACATTTTAAGAAGTATACTGTTGTTCATTTTAGTATACTTCCCAAATACAAATGTACTACCGGTGTACTTAGAGGTAAACTTCATGGGACTAAATTGGCCCAATCTTCAATCTACACTTGAAACATACTTGAAAGTAAACTTCTTCTTCTTCTATACTATTAGTTTAGTTGTGGAAAAACTCCAAGTTCCCTTTTTAGTTGATAAAAGTACACTATGATGCATTATTTATTTATTTTATTTAATTTAATTTAAATTTTTTTTTTTTTTTTTTTTTTTTTTTTTGGGGGGGGGCATTTTTTAGGACCACAGTCCCCAAAACGGGGCGTGGCTTAACCCACTTGACCACCTGCATGCCCACTCTGAAGTACACTTTTTCTAAAGTTACCTTTTTGCTATGCTAATACTTCTATAGTTGTACACATTTGTAAACCTGGTTTGTACTGCTTATCTTTATAAGAGTTTACTCTAATAGAGTTTGCTCTTAAAAGATAAGCAGCACAAGCCAAGTATACTTTAGCCTAAGGCACAAACACATCGTTAAGTATGTCTTGATCAAAAGTCTAAGTTAAATATATTCCGACTTTAAGTATAATTCTTAGTACAAGCCAAACACACCTAACATTAACTTAACAACACAATACACACAATATACTATATTGTGTTTGAAATATTTCTATCTATCTATCTATATATATATATATATATATATATATATATATATATATATACACACACACTTCACACAAATCACACTGTCTACATGAAAGCAAACTACTATTTGTCAACACAAGTTTCCCACTAATTTGTGCAAAGATTCCCTGACCTGATAGAGTTTGTTTGTGTTGCTTGCCTCTGTTTCTTTTATTGTGTCCCTGCAGGTTCAGGCCTGTTTTGCCCTCAGGTTCTTTTGTTAAACTCAGCTCTAAATGCACCATTACCTGTTTTCAGTTACATGTCAGTCTCTCTATAATTATACTTATGAAACACCATGTTTGGGTTGTTCATTTAAATTAGCATCATTGATAAGTCACGCCTTACTTAATTGGGAAAACTCCCATGTCAGAGGATGGTATGACTATGCCCCTATAAAGCATTATCCGTGAGTTTTTAGGCCTTTATTGTTCTGTAATATTACCTGCTTTGTCATCATATTGTCTCCTAGGATATGCCATGGGATGGGGCCCAATCACATGGCTGCTGATGTCAGAGGTGTTGCCACTGGCCGCCAGAGGCGTGGCCTCAGGACTGTGTGTCACTGTCAGCTGGTTGACTGCCTTCGTACTCACCCACGCATTCACACACCTGGTGGACAGGTACGGCCTGTATGTGCCCTACCTGTGTTTTACGGTGGTGTGTGTGCTCTGTCTGCTGTTCAACGCAGTGTGCATACCAGAGACTCGAGGCTGCTCGCTGGAGGAAATCGAGAACTATTTCAGGACAGGGCGAACGTTCACTATCACCAGAAGTCACTCCAACACACAGTCGAGCTAAAGTCAAGCTGTCTCTCTAAAACAAGGTGTTTCATGTTTATGTACCAATATATTATGGTCAAAGTGAAAAGCATTTGTGCTATATAGAGGTTCAGAGAACACAACTACTAGGGAGGCTGCAGTTTATAAATCACTGTAAAAAAAATTATAGGCCTACCAATCTTATATAATCTGAAATGTCTCTTCTTTGTCTCAGTGGTTTCAAACTGAATGTGCATGTAATTGGCTCTGCAATCAGAGCAGTTACATTCAGTACTTCAACATACTCGCTTTTGTAATAAAAATAATTGACTGTACTTCTACTACAGTTATATAACACATTCCCACCTAAAAATAAGTGAGGTTACATACAGTATTACAAACCTCAAACACAGTTTTGGCCTATTTATGTGCCTGGTATTAATATCCAAGAAATCCAAGAGTTTGGCTCAATACTATATCCAACCAATGTATTTAAGCTGCTTCGATTGGTGGGTAACATAAAATCGATAAATACCTCAGACTTTACTGCCTAACTATCTGTCTGTTCGCTGAGATCATATAGGTTTAAAGAGATTAAAAAGGACCAAGATCAAGTGATAAGATTTGATTGTGTTACATCCACACTCAAAACTTACATCATGGTAGTGTAATTTATATAATTCCTTTATCAGATGTTTAACAGGTTACATTTGTTGGACCTTTGAACGCTTAAAACCTTTATTTATTCATTTATTCTAGCAACATACTTAATCAAATTTTTTAAGTCTTACTTTTCTGTTCTGTACATGCTAATATGATCAGCCCCTGTCTCAATAAACAAGCGCTCATGAAGCTCATATTACACTGTGTGAGTGTTGCAGGTTGTGAACAAATGGTTACCAGAAGTCTGTGAACATTAGTGACTGACCCTCTTCCCTGTGAGTAAAAAAACAATACAGGAAGTGATGCTGCTCAGCAGGCCAGGTCACATGCCACAGTGAGGACTCAGCATCAAACATTTGAGTCTGACTCACAACTACCGAAGCACATTACTGCCAGTACAACCTCACAGTTTCCATCCTAAACTCACAGATGTTCATACAGAAGCAGAAATTGTTCACTTTTTATCTAACATGCACCTTTACAACTTGTCGGTAACTCTTTGAAAGTACTCATTAGCTCCTTAGACAGAAAACATTCCTTGAGTCATTGAATCACCTCAAGGTGAGAGTCGTTCACAAATACACCTGCCACTTAATGGTAGATGACTGCATTTTTAGATAACCATGGCTCTCTGTGTGCATGTGTGAAATGCTGGTTCAACTGAGGTATCACAGGAGTACCAAACACTTCAATTATGTTGTTTGTTGTTTTTAAATCTGACAAAACTCTAAAGCAAGAGACATTCTCTTTTGTTTGATAATTGAATTCTTTCTTTTTTTGAACGAACACAAAAACAAGAAGGTTTCAGCAACACCACATCAAAAATAGTCAGTAAAAGATCCTTTTCAGTTTCATACATACAGTCATAATCAGACATTATAATTCAAAAAAGGGTCCATATCTGATTCATATCATCATTGAAAACAACAGCAGGAGTGAAGTTGTCTTCTTATCTAACACAGTGAGGAGTTATCAAACAAAAGTCAGATCATACAATCAAACGTGTGTGGACACAAGTCAACCCAGATTTAGGAAGAGATCAAGAGGCTAAAGAGGTCAGGCAGATAACAGACTCTATCGACGGTTTTTAACCACAGTTGTTCAGTGTTTATATACCCACTGAGTCAGAGGCTATTTTTATACCGAATGTACCCTCCTTCTTATTCCTCTTCTCGCCATCACTTCCTCTTCCCATGACATTACTGCTGCCTGATTTTTCTTGCTTGTTATGCAAATTCAGTATCAACATAGATTCATAACAGGTTACCTGTCTGAAACTAATACATTTATACTCACTCGTCATTTTAAACTGTTGTAGTAGGTGGCACATTTTTTAATTTTGTTTACTATTATTCTCACAGATATCAATGTTTGGATTCTTTCAGACAAAGGCTATCAATAAATGCATTATGATGATAACCCATGGAGCTGCGTGTGGCTTTGCCCTGAGCCTACACAGTGTAACCTCTAAAAAATCAGAGAGCAGCTTTAAGGTGTCGTTGATATATCTGCTCCAGGCTGAAAATCAATCAAAGTTCTAAAATCCTGATAAGCTGTTGTCTGTTTGGGGGAATCTGAGCTCTGTATTTCCACCAAAGCCTTTACCGTAAATCTATGTCATTGTTAAAGACTACACTTAACAAATATAGTACGTCTACTTACTGGCATTATTGTTGATTTTAAAAACCTATTATAATTATATATTGTCTGTGTTTTTACCTATATCTGTGGCATTGAATGTGTCAGATGGAACAAGCTTTTTGTGCATATTTATTGTCCTTAAAAGGAATGATTGAGCAATGACATGGGTTGATAGCACTAACATTAGTGTCTGCATTAAATATGTGTCAGTGCCTCTGAAAGGGAACAGCCCCTGCCCTGTAATCACTTAAAAATGTTTGGGTTCATACAAAACAAGATAACACACACACACACCTAGGCTTTTTGAGGAATGTCAAAGTCTGTAGGGATGGTCTATTCACTGGAATGTGGTCCATCAGGCCCTTCAAACACACACTCTCATATACAGACAGATAGACACATGCACACGCCTTCACCTCACCCAGATGACATCATGAGCAGAGGCAACACCCACACTTTCACACCCATCATTGGTACTGAGGATACAGGGGTGTTGCTGCTTTGAGGTGAGGGAAAACACTTGATAAGACAAATCAATTTATATTTCAGTTTATAAGATCTTATTTTTAATGTTTTTTACGAGCATACATGCAGCGGCTGTCCAAAATTCCAGACTATGAATATTGCTAGTTACCTTGATTGTTTGTCTAGTTTTTACTTGTACAGATTAGGCATAAAAACATACAAGATTTTAAAACGTAAGCCTAATATAGCTTTAACATTCAGACAGAGCCAGACTAGTGAAGCTCATTTTTTCCCCATCAAAAAGCCTTTATGAAAATATCTCAGTACAAATGTACAAAACCCAATTCCATTGAAGTTGGGAAATTGTGATAAACATAAATAAAAACAGAATACAATGATTTGCATAACCTACAGTATATTAAATTGAATACAAAGACAAGATATTTAATGTTCATACACATAAACTTTTTTTTTTCCCAAATAAGAATTAACTTTAGAATTTGAACATGTGACAAAAAGTAGTACTTTGATCTTGTTGACCTCTTTGGATCTGAGAAGTAAGCATCCAACAAGAATTACAGCAGTCATGACAGATGCAGTTATAACAATAAGGGTCCTAATATTATGAACTTAAATAAATGTAATAATTAAGAAAAAAAAAAAAAAAAAAAAAAAAAGGGAGAAGAAAAAATAAAGCTTTCTACAATATACACAATTTAAATGCCATAAAAAAAGTGGTGGTGTAAAATCAGTTTTGTTACTGTTCATTGTAAAGTCTTATTGCAGAGGGGAGGAATGATCTGCGGTAGCGCTCCGTCCTGCAGGGTGGGAGTCTCAGTCTGCTGCTGAAGGAGCTGCCTAAAGCCCCCACAGTCTGGTGCAGTGGGTGAGAGGGATTGTCCATAATGGATACAAGCTTTGTTAACATCCTCCTCTCACCCACCTCCTCCAGGGAGTCCAAAGAGCAGTCCAGGACAGAACCAGCCCTCCTGACCAGTCTATTCAGTCTCTTCCTGTCCCTCTTGGTGCTCCCTGCCCCCCAGCAGACCACTGCATAGAAAAGTGCAGATGCTACCACAGAGTCATAGAAAGTCCTGAGCAGAGTCCTGCACACTCCAAAGGACCTCAGTCTCCTCAGCAGGTGGAGACGACTTTGGCCCTTCTTGTACAGAACGTCTGTGTTTGTTGACCAGTTCAGTTTGTTGTTGAGGTGGACACCCAGGAATCTGTAGGACTCCACCATCTCGATGTCTAGACCCTGTATGTTCACTGGAACTGTTTGAGGTGTCCCCCTCCTGCGGAAATCCACAACCATCTCCTTTGTCTTACTGGCGTTGAGCTGGAGGTGGTTTGTGCCACACCAGTTGACAAAGTCAGTGATGACAGTCCTGTATTCCCGCTCATCCCCTGACGATACACATCCGACGATGGCTGTGTCATCAGAGAACTTCTGAAGGTGACAGCTCCCAGAGTTGTAGCTGAAGTCAGAGGTGTACAGGGTGAAGAGGAAGGGGGAGAGCACTGTCCCCTGTGGAGCCCCCGTGCTGCAGACCACCATGTCCGATACACAGTTCTGAAGCCTCACAAACTGTGGTCTGTCGGTGAGGTAGTCCACGGTCCATGCGGCTAGGTGACAGTCCACTCCCGCCCGCTCGAGCTTCCCCCTGAGCAGTGAAGGCTGGATGGTGTTGAACGCACTGGAGAAGTCAAAAAACATGACCCTCACAGTGCTGCCAGTGTTCTCCAGGTGAGCCATGGACCTCTGCAGCAGGTAGATGACTGCGTCATCCACCCCGATGTTTGGCTGGTACGCAAACTGCAGAGGATCCAGATGAGAGCTCACCAGGGGGCGGAGGTTCCTCAGCACAATCCTCTCCAGAGTCTTCATCAGGTGAGAAGTGAGGGCCACAGGTCTGAAGTGGTTGGGCTCCCTGGGGTGCACTGTCTTGGGGACAGGAATCACGCAGGAAGTCTTCCACAGTGTTGGGACCCTCTCCAGACTCAGGCTCAAGCTGAAGATGTGCAGTAGCACCTCACAGAGCTGGTCTGCACAGTCTTTCAGGAGTCTGGGGCTGATGCCATCAGGACCCGTGGCTTTCCTTGGCTTCATCTTCCTCAGTTCACTTCTCACCTGGTCAGCTGTTATGGAGAGGCTGGGGGTGGTGCTGGAGGGGGTGGTGGAGGATGAGTGAAGGGGGGTTGATGGTGTCGGTGCTATGGGACTGAGGTGGTGTGAATAAGAAGGAGCAGCAGACGGATCGATGGTTAGATGAGTCGGGGGAGGAGTGGGAGCAGAGTCAAATCTATTAAAGAACAGATTCAGCATTAACTTTAGAATTTGAACATGTGACAAAAAGTAGTACTTTGATCTTGTTGACCTCTTTGGATCTGTGAAGTAAGCATCCAACAAGAATTACAGCAGTCATGACAGATGCTCCACTTTTTAAAGGTCCAGAGACTTGATTTATTTAAAAAAAAAAAAAAAAAAACAAGCAAGCAAGCAAGCAAACAAACAAACCAATAAAAACAGGTCCTTGGGGGACATTGGCACTGCAGCCTCAGCAACCCAAGTCGAGAGGAGACAGTCCTCCTGAGTAGGCTTTTATTTAAACAGTAAAATTATGTACCTAAATGAATTAGGATTTAATTATCTGGGGCCTCATTTATAAAACCTGGCGTAGGATCCATACTAAAAGTGTACGTAAGTTGAAAAGCTGAAAAGTGCGTAGGCAAAAAAAAAATCTAATTTATAAAACCCTGCCTACGCACACCTGCACGCACTTTCACTTTATAAATCACAGACCAGCCGGAAAGTTGCGCAGCAGTGATTTGATTCATGCCCCGCCCTCTCCACACCCAAAATTCACCATGTATGGTCATGCAAAATACCTCATGAATGTGATTTGCATATAAATAAGCCTGATGGATCCACGGCATTTCACGCTTAACCATGGCATCAGCAAGTCGTAGAAAAAGAAACTTTTCAGAGATCGAGGTGGAGGTTCTTGTAATTGAGGTGGCGGCAAGACGGGAGACCTTATTCGGTGGCCATTCGAGTGGCATCACCGATAAAAATGCCGTTGCCGTGGCGGTAA